TTTTTTTTTTTTTTTTTTTTTTTTTTTTTTTTTTTTTTTTTTTTTTCTTATAATTAAAAATATATCAAATATCTTTCAGCCCATAATATTGCCTTTATTAATTTATTTATGTTCGCATGTGCTTGCTTTTTAACAATCTTGCAGGACGAAAGTTATAACAGCCGAAAAAGCAGAAATTGATACTGAACAATCAAAGGAACGCTGTATAGTTGTGCAGTCAACTTGTGAAATAAAGAAGGAACTTAATCAAGATACTCATCTACCTCCTAAAAATGATCAAGATGATAACATGTTTGTGATTCTTAATAACTTCTTTTTTTACTTTCAGTATGAAATATTATGGTGTTGGGCTAATTGTTTGCTATAAAATTCCTGTAATGTACAACATTTTTTTTTGTACTTTTTCCCTTTTATGTTTTATTTTACTTTTTGAATGAGTAGAAAGTAATAACAATATCATAAATTCTTTTTCTATTTATTAATACTTCGTTATTAATAACTACTGAGCTATCATTTAATAATAGCTTTGTGTAATCTGCATGTCATGTAAATATCATTCTATTATAAAAAAAAAAGTAAGATAAATTGGTATTATATAAATTATTAAAAAAATCCTGTTGTGTTTTGTAAGAATGGATCATTAATTTATATAACTTTCTATTATTTTGCACTAAATAATATACATACAAATATTGTACTTAACACATTAATAGTTTAATTACTTATAGAATATTAATTCAGTATAATGGAAAATAACAAAAGATATAATTTTAAATGTAGTATGAAATGGTATAAAAAAAACATACATTCACTATTATTTAATAGTAGTACTTTGTAATTATGATTATTTGGTATCAAATATTTGTATCAAGTTTGAATTGAAATTTATTATTTTTATAAAGTTCATTGCAGATGTTTTAATATATTGATATGTTTATAGGAATCCAATTCCAATAGGACAAACAGAAGCAATTGGACCATTTGGATTGGACATGGATTTTCTACAAAAAATTGAATCGATTGCTCCAGTAAAATTTAGGAATCCTGTTCTTCAGGATACTACTATATCTGATATCGATGAACCAATTAATCTTAATCCTCATAAAACTCAGTAAGTAAATTTAGTTATAATGTGTAAATGATACAATATTATTTATTTATTTATTTATAATGTATTATAGAATGATACCAATATCACCTCCAAAATTGTTGATACCAAAATCAGCAACAGTATTACCCGAAGGACCATCTAATTCCAAAGAAGATAATGTTGAACGTACTATACTTGCAATGGCTAGTCTCGATTTACCTACAGCAATACAATCAATGAATAGTATTGACAATGTTAGTATTATATAAAAATAGTGTTATAATTTAATTTCTAACATAATATAATTTCTTCTTATTTGTTTGCAGTTACTAAGATCACACAAAGCTTGTTTATTACAATCGAGAGAAGATAAATTTATTAGTTCAGTGAATATGCAGTTAAAATTTTTACAAACATATCCTTTACATCAAGGAAGTGCAGATGTATCTAAAGGATTTAGAAATACCTTTATGGTGATACTTACGGTAAGAAATAAGAATATTAAGTATTTTATTTTTATAATAAAATATATTTATAGTGTAATGTTTAATATTATCAATTTTTTTTTAGTTTTATGATACTGGAATACTTGCTAAAAATGTTCCACTGATACATTTAAAAGAACTTGTTGAACAAATGATTACTTTACTGGCAGAATGTAAATTAGAACGTTTACAAGAAGCAGAAGCATATATCAGAGTAGTAAATAATATAGTTGTTAAAATAATCGATAATTCAAATCACACAACAATTATATGGTAAGTTATATCAAATGTAATATTATAGAAATAATCTTTATGGTGCACATAAATATGACTTTATAGAGAATAAATATTATTTTTTACATTTTTGTTATTTACATTATTTATATTTTAGTGTATTAATAGAACTACTTCATGCGTGTGCTGAATCAAACGCTCCTCCCAAATATGAAGAATTGGTGATGAAATGTTTGTGGAAAATTGTGAAAACATTCCCAAATTGGGCAGCAGATTTGGATTATGATACTATTCTTTTAGAAGTTCATAAATTCTTGAAGGTTCGTTTACTGTATTTTGTATTTATAATATTTCTTGTACACAAGAAGATTATATGTATTTATATTTATAGGATTATCCAACTACTTGGTGGAAGAAGCGTTGGTCTGATACTCCATTAAGAACGATAAAAACAGTTCTTCACAGTATGACACGTGTTAAGGGAAGCACAATACTCACTCATCTGACAAAAATAAATAACACAAATGAATCTGAATTACATTCTTATTTAATAAGATTAATTGCTGTAAGTATAAATGATTGCTATAATATTTAAAGATAATTTTGTGAATTATTGAACTTATATATTTTATAGACATTTAAACCAGATGAAATAAACACTGCGTCAAGACCAATGTCAAAAAGCAATAATACAGCGAAGATGCAAAAACATTTATCAAAATCTACTCATCAACAATTGGCAGAAATCTTTAAAAAAATTGGATCAAAAGAACACATGCAAGAGGTTTGTCATTGCATTTCTTATTATTTAAATTGTTATATGATCTCAATTTGCAACTTTTGTTAAACCATCTGTATTTAATATTTTGTAGGGTTTAATGCAACTTTATGATTTTAAACTTCAATATCCTGACGCAGATGTTCAACCTTTCTTAGTTAAGTCACATCAGTTCTTCCAGGATTTTATAGAACAAGGATTACGAGAAATTGATCAGGCACGACGAAATCAAGGAGTTATACCAAGAATGAATCATTACAATACAGGTTATCTATAAAAATTAATTAGTAATCCAATATAAATAAATCATACGCTCTACGCTTGATCGACTCAAGACAGTGTTAATTTTATTTTAAATCTAAATCAAATACCGCATCGATGTGTTAACTATATATAGAATCTACTACAACTCCTGAAATAGAAGAAAAAAGTCTACTGGATCCAATGCACAGGCTTGAAAAACTCAGGTCACTTGAAGCACAGTGTAGAACAACATCTAGTCAGTCAAATCCAGTATGAATTGTATACGTAATCAATATAATTTAAGTATGTAATTCGATTCAACTAACATTAACGATTTCTATTAATTAATTAATTTACGTTAAACATTTTTTTTCAGATATCCAATACTTGAAAGATTAGCTCATACACTATAACGTATGTTACATACACCCCATCTTTAATATTTTCCATTGTTATATGATAACGTTTATTGGCATGGCCTCCTTAATAATATAAAAAGCTAATAGTAAAACGGAGGTGCGTAGTGTAAATACAGATATTGCGTACGACTTAGTTTTATTTCATCATATATTGATGTTTCCATGTAAACTTAGAATAAATGATACAAATTTTCCTAAAATGTATCATTTGGATAGTTAATGAAAGACTTCTTTTTAATTTAATCGTAAATTTAGGAAGTAGCCTTTGCTTAGAAAAAAAAGTGATAATGAAAATAGTCTTTGTAAGATATAGTTTGAAATGGAATGTTCATTTACGAAGAAATAAAAAATTCGATGCAAACTCTGTATTTCTATATGGCATATGTGTACTATATTCTAAAATTCTAGATATATATATATATAGACAAAAAGAGAATACATAGATTGTAAATTTGTCAGTTTTAATATAATGGCCTGACAGAGATTAAAGGAAAGAATGAACGTAACATTTTACTCCTAAATATATATAAAGTGGTATTAATAACTTCTTTCATTATTTTTACAGTTTTGTATAGTTGATATTATTTTTATTTTTATTATAGATTACTATATTACTATTACTATTATTAATACTGATATGTTATGATGATGATGGTTATTATTATTATTATTATTATTATTATTATTATTATTATTATTATTATTATTATTATTATTACTATTATTATTATTATTATTATTATTATTATTATTATTATTATTATTATTATTATTATTATTATTATTATTATTATTATTATTATTATTATTACCATTGTTATAGACTATTAGTCGTTAAGATTTGTATTTTGAAAGATAAGTAATATTTATGAACACGAATAACATGATTTTTAAATATACAATAAATGGAGTACAATGTGTATTTTAGACTGATTTGTCAGCCGGTTTGTATTTCGTTATATTTGTTTAAATAAATCATCGTTTGATATTTTATGGTTTTAACCTGAATCAACAAAATTCATAAAGTCAAAACTAAAAACTGTGTCCACAATGTAATCATATTTAATAAATAGTAAATAGCTGAGGATAAGGCCTTTATAACATAAATTCAGTTGTTACAACAAAAATATTTAAAACGATCAATTATGAATGTATGTGACATCTTGAAAATAATATTAAGCTATTAAGGACATTATTATAACAAATTAAATCACTATTTCTTTGTGCAAATAGTATGATACAATTAATGAAAAGTATCGTGCATTGACAGTAAAAGTAAAAAGACGCAATGCATATGTATATAAATACCTTCAAATTAATTATTTCATTTTTTATTCACATTTTGTCTATTATTGGGTTGGCAACTAAGTGATTACGGAAACAAAATCCGCAATCACTTAGTTGCCAATCCAATATATTATAACATGAAATATTTATATATATTATATACTTATATATATATATTAATAAATATATATATATATATATATATATAATATTATATATGTATGTATGTATATATATATTTATAAGAAAAAAAATGTTTTAAACTTTCTTCAATTACAAATGTTTATAAATTACAGCAAGCTATGAAACGTTCACTCGCTAAAGCTGTCATCCATCATTTGAATCGAAGCGATATAAATCAAATGGAAAACATATTTCTTGAATGTATTGATTTCTGTCGATAAATGAAAGCGCTTAATACGGTGCCCTATGTTACCGGCAACTCAACAAAAATAGACCATAGCGCCACATAACAAAAATCTAAACTAATAATTGTCAACTGTATCATGAAAGTCATGAAATAAAGATCAATTTGACAATGATATACACTTCCAAATATTTTTACAAAACGACTTTAGACTTTATTTAATAGTTAAACCTTAGTGTAAATATTACATTGAAGTAAGTAACGAATTATTTATAGAAATAAAACGATGATAACTTTGTTTGTACATCGAATTAATCAAGTTATTTTTTTCTAAAATTCTTTGTTCTAAAGAGTTCGGTTAAAGTATATGACCGTATTATATTTCATTTTTATTATGTATTTATCTTTATGGGATTGTAAACGAACTTTAAAACTTTCCCATTTTACATTTTATCGTATGGAAAATGAATTAATTTAAATGCAATATTATGAAATGAACGTATAGCAAGTAATAATTTAACTCCATTGAAAGATATTTGATAATTTTATCTATTTATCAGAAATATTTTTAGATCTTTCTTTAATAATTTGATACATCTTACTTGAATCAACGTACATTTTTCTAATCTTATCTTATCTTCTATGTTTTAAACATATTTTTAATAGTAAAGATTATTAACAACTGCTAACAAGTAGTAAACAGTGCTCTTTTTGAAATTAGATGTCTATTATTTATATGATATTATATTTACATTGGAGTCTTAAATAGGCATAGATATTATTTATTTTTACAATGATCTAGTTATTATGTTCTGATTTATTTTAATTAAATAATAATTAAAAGTTTATATATATATAATTTTCCTCAGATTATACATTCAACTTTTTAAATATGGCCTGGACACATTATCAACGCATTTTAGCTATTCTTATGGTTGTTACTGGATCATTTAATACTCTCTCTGTAAAGTAAGTATTTTACTATATGATATGTGTATGTGTGTGTGTATGTGTGTGTGTGCGTGTACATATAAGTACTTACAATAATCTCTTGTATTAATAATTCTATTATATTATTCAATTGAAAGGAAGAAACAATATTTTGTAATAAATTGTATTTTTATCTAGATATGCAGATAAACAAGTTGTGCCTGGACAAGATGGAGTACCTCGTCATTTTAATCATCCTTTTATGCAATCTTCATTTATGTTCTTGGGTGAAATGTTATGTTTTTTCATTTTTAAAATTGCATATTGTTACTACAGTCGTAAGGATGTAAGTATTTTTTTCTAAAGATTCTTATCTCTTTCTGTTTTTAATTTTTAATCTAATCCAAATAATTATCATATAGGATGGTTCTGTAGATAATAGCACCTTAACTAAAGGATCTCGCAACTTCAATCCATTTGTCTTATTTATACCAGCTATGTGTGATATGTTAGCAACTTCTATTATGTACGTTGGTCTCAATATGACTTATGCCAGCAGTTTTCAAATGTTGCGTGGTGCAGTTATAGTTTTTACTGGTATTCTTTCAATGGGATTCCTTGATAGAAACTTAGGTAGAAGAGAATGGATAGGAATTGTATGCGTTTTAATAGGTTTAGCGCTTGTTGGCATAAGTGATATAATGGTTATGAAAGATGATGACGTTACCCTGAATTCTATTTTAACTGGAGATTTATTAATAATTTGTGCGCAGGTATAATCACATTTAATATATAATATTTTTAAGTATAAACTAAAAAACATTATTTTTTCTAGGTAATAACAGCAGTCCAAATGGTAATAGAAGAAAAATTTGTTGCTGGTCAAGATATTCCTGCTTTGCAAGCAGTTGGTTGGGAAGGTATGGATTACAATATTTCAAATGAAAGAGTATTGATTTTGCAAACATTAAATAATTTATATGACATATTTCTTTCTTCTCAATATATATTTTTAAATAAAATTAAATTATAGTAAACAAGCTGTGCATTCTTTTTCTAGGTATTTTTGGATTTATTGGCATATGTCTGGTTATGATCCCTCTTAATTTTATTTATGCACCACCACCATTTGCGGATAATTCACGAGGAACTCTTGAAGCTACTGCGGATGCTTTTGTACAAATTGGAAATAGTGGCAGATTACTAATGGCAATAGTTGGTTAGTAAAGTCTATAATTTATTACTATTATATTACATGAAAATAAATTATTATAATGTATTATGTCATCTTTTATATTAACTAAAAACTTCCATTTTTTTCTTTTACACAGGAATAGCATTCAGTATAGCATTTTTTAATTTTGCTGGTATTAGTGTCACAAAAGAAATCAGTGCTACAACAAGAATGATTTTAGATAGCATACGAACGATTGTTATATGGGCTTTTTCATTGCAATTTAAATGGCAAGATTTTCATTATCTCCAGGTAATTATATATTTTAAAATAAGTAATATTTAAAAGAATCTTTCTGATTTTAATGATATACATTTATCAAATATTGAAAACCGTCATAATTTCCAATATTACTTTATAAAATTCACCATATAAATTATAAATGAAATCTTTTTCTAGCTCATTGGTTTTGCAATTCTTTTAATTGGAATGTTTTGTTATAACAATGTGTTAATTCCACAATTGGTAAAAAAATGTCAGTTCTGCTTAATAAGAAAGAAACGCGCTACTGATGAGGAAAGCATTGTTAACATTGCTGCAGATGTTCTAGAAAATATATAAAAAGCAATTATAAAAATTGTTGCAATAAGCATAATGATTATTAAAACCATTATATATGGGATGATCGATAACGATTTAAAAAGGAAACAGTCAGATCTGTGATTTTATATATAAACACATCATTTATACTTATGACAAAAAAGCTATGGTACATTTTTCATATCTTCATCTTTGTCATTATACTATAATATAATAAATAATACGTAGAAATTTATTGTTAGTATTATTTATATTATATGGAGAAATAAACGTTATTATATCAATACATTAAACTATATATATACATATATATACATATATATACATATAATATATATATATATATATATATATATATATATGTATATATATATATATATATATATGTATATATGTATATATATATATGTATATATATCTGGAAAATATAATACATATATTCGCTCAGTTGTTCTATATTATTATTAGTATTTTACTAATTGATAAATATATATTGACAAAATAAAAAATGCACCATATAAATAGATTCTATTTTATTTGACTGCTTATGGACTTGGCAGTAACATTAATGCTGGATATATACAATTGTATATGAATCTCTTTCAAATGAATTATGTTATGTATAAATTTTTATGAAATTGTAACGGAATGTATTTTATTATTATGAAAATTTATGAATTAAAAATATAAAAAGTACAAAAACTTTATAACATTGGTACAAACTTATTATTTATCTTTTTGTACGTAGTAAAAAAAAAATGATCTTATTAAATGTTTGTGCTTGTTATCATATACCCAAACTTTAGCAATAATCGGATAATAATTTTCTTGCGAAGTTATACTAAATACTGACTTTTATAAAGAAACATTATCTTCCAACGCTTTCTTACAATCAATTAATCGTTATAATTCTAGAAATCATTGAAAAAAAAATCTTGTTGAAAAGTCCCAAAAGGCATAATCTTGCTTGTTTTAATACTAGTCGATAAATACCAAGTGATGCAATGCGTTTATTTCAATACACATTGATAAATGCAAATCAGCGCGATCATCTGTCGTTTATCTGTTTATTTAAAACAGTTTCGATAGTTTCGATCGAGTACGTTACATAGGACATTAATGTGAAGCTTTATGAGTTCGTAAAAATATTAATATTTTACAATTTAAAATTATTGTTACAGTTTTCATTTTTATTGTTAACACAGATGATAATTTCGTTGTGAATTAATTTAATTAAAAGATATAATGGCTTTGAAAAAAATATAACAATGTACAATAAACGAATTAAGATATTCAAGTTACGAAAACGATGGTAGCGATATTGATCTTATTATCAAAAAAGATAAAAGAAATATTTCTGGATATCATAATTCTCAAGTATTTAGTTCGAAAATTTTTTTAACATTTCCCAGAATTATCAGTAATGATGTACACTGAATAATCTGGTTCATTTCATTTTAATGAAAAATTCGAAGTACAATGCTGTTTCTCTTCTGAAATTATACCTATCGAGTATTTCAATGATTTCTTTGATTCTTCCCTTTGGATATCGATGATTGAAGAAACGAATATATATGTAAATGAAATATTACAATCATCTCGAATGAGTCGAAATTCTAAAATGAAAATGTAGAAATCAATTATCATTCTCGAAATGAAAGCTTTCATAGCGATTTTACTCGAAATGGGAATAACTAGAAAACCATCAATATTTTCTTATTGGATCGAAAATTTTCATAGTATACCTTAATTTCGTAAAATGTTTTCGCGCAATAAATTTCAATTAATATTAAAATGCTTTCATTTCGTTAATAAAAAGAAATATTTTCTACCGGAATATATACGATCCTAGTGCAAAATATAATCCCATATTTGAACATTCTAATAGAGTATTTCAATTATAATCACATTATGAATTATTAATTGACAAATCTCATTTCCATTTTTTATATATAATTTATATATAAAGTATTATTATTTAAATAAATTTCGTTATTTACATAAGTAATAAGTAAATAATATTAATAAAGAAAAATTATTATTGATAAATAAATGTATGAAATAAATAAATGTATGAAATAAATAAATGGAATTTATTTAAATGATAAATTTAATAAATTATTAAATAAATTTATTCATTTAAATATTTTTATATATTTTTAATATTTATATTAATATATTAAATATAATATAAATATAAAAATATAAACACATTTCTATTTTCTATATATATATATATATACACAATGTTCTCTTTTTAGATTTAACAAAACGTTGAAGAAATGCTGTTTTGCACATTTTTAATTGAATAGAAATATTTTTAAATAAAATAAATAAAGATAACATTGTTTATATATCTGTAACGATTTTTATATGATTAAAAAAAAAGATGACCCACGCACTATTGGAAGAGCGAATTTCAATATGTCTGACACGACGTGATTTAACAGAATCTGAGCATATCATCTATTATGTAACGTGGATCGTTAATGTACACGTACGTGTCTCCATTGTTCTTCTTAACTTAAGTACTTTCTCTTAAGGTTTATATATCACCATTAGAAATATTTATCATCTTGGGAACCTATTGGATATTAGCTAACAAAACGCATAGATGAAGAACACAGGGGCACCTTTGTCTGATCTTAGGCATTCTTAGTAAAGTATTTGGATTTCGATAATATGTCAAGTTGACCAATAAATAAATAGTGAAAGTAGACGCTTAGGTGCGATAAGTCAAGGATTATCTGGTTTCTTTGCCTTAAAATATCCATTGACACCTTTTTAATCTACACGATCATTAGAACAAAGGGGGCCATAAAAAATAAATATTACACATGTAATATTTAAACATTTCAATGAACTATCCCCGAGCAATGGGCATTTATTCTTTACCCTTTCCATGCTCAGATCATACTTCAACTCCCCCCTTTTTATTCCCTTTCCTAATCTCATTACAATCTGCGTGGATAATTTTAAAGACGCCAAAAAAAGGCAGTCAAGTTACATCTTTCAGACTCATGACATCTAAATTCTCAAGTCTTATTATACAGCCAGTACAATTAACTACACATCATTACATAAAACACATAAACAATTGTAACTTATTTCATCAAATATACGGTAATAACTTCAACGCATACAATATTTAATATCGCGCATCTACTTAGCGAGAGTTTCAGGGATTTCTTTAAAAGAAAGCGCGTTCTCTCATTAATTTGCGGGAATGCGGTATTTTGCTGATAGCCTTCAATGGTATCCTAGTGTCGCCGTTCTTATTCATCGTGAACAGTGGGTCTACTATAGCTCGAACAACAAAGAAAAGTCGGGGGATATTCTCCGTGCAAATTGACTATCATCGCTGGTCAGGTGCGAGACACGTATTTAGAATCGCACTCGTAGTTACACCCTGCGCAACATGAATAAATTCTTTGTTATTTTTTAGAATGAAATATAAACAGCGCGATCACGCTGCGTGACTATGTTAATGAGAAAAAAAAAAATATCAATACATTTTCGCAGCTAAACATAATTACGTACAGATTGTTATAAGATCATCTTTTTTTCGAAAGGCTAACAAAACAATGAAAGTATTGAAAGTAAAAACAGTGAAGTAATTTGTCATTCTCCTATTTGTTGTTCGGATATATCATAAACGTTCACAAAAGAAAAAAAAAAATATATTATTATTTATATTATTTTATTATCTCCTTTTTTAATCTTTGCATACAAAAATAAATCTATTTTATCTACCAATCTATCTTAAGCTACGAATATCATTGCATGTATATAATTTGGCACTACAATTTCGTTAAATTCTTTATCGGTAAAAAAAAAAAAAAAGAGGAAAAAAAAACATATTTATTATATAAAAAAAAACATATTTATTATATAAAAAAACATATTTATAAATATACGCATGCATAAGTGTAAAATGGTCGCTAAAATATCTAATATCACTTTATCATATATACATACGTATGTAATAAGTTTTTATAATGTAACTACATACTTTAATCTTGAAATAAAAAAAAAAATACAAGAAAAAAAGAATGATCCAAATGGTAACAAAACTAAAAGAATAATTTTAGTGATTTGAATAAAGCAATCTACGTGTAAGTCTATAATAAACAAAAAATATATATGCATACATGTGTGCACTAAATAAATATATACTAAACCGATATATTTAGTATATATGAACTAAAAAATAATCGTCTCTTTTTTGAAAGCAGAAAAATAATATATTATTGGAATATCATCATATCATGTTCGCGTTTATACGTATGATATGGATATGAGGTATGTTTAAGTAATGATCTCGGGATTTAGAAATCGGCAACATTGTACAAACACTGTGGCGCTATCTGAGACGTACATATATCTCTATTCTGCCTTCAGTATTAATTTCAACTCGGTTGAATTAAAACGAGCAGTTTCATAGCGAATTTTATAAAAGTATGTTTTATTGATGCGTTATCGAAATGGAACAGTGACAATGGGCACCATTTCTTCTCTATACTCTTTGTGAATGAGTTTTTCAGCCAACAAAGATATTCCTGTAGTTTCAGAGTCTTTAATACTTTTCTACTTTGTGGTAATGTGACATTTTTTTCAAAAAATCTGTCTCTCAAAGGACATCATTTTAGAGCTATGAACATAAATGTTATAATCGACAGATTGAAAGCAGTTCCAGCAAAAGAATTCCAGCACTGTTTCTAAATATGAGAGTAACACCTTAGACTGTACTTCTCGAGGTAACTATTTTGAAGATGATAATGTGGATCTTTTCATTAAATAAATATTTTTACTGAATCAATCTCATTAATTTTTAGATGCATCTCGTATATGTATTATATTTACGTATAATGTGTATATATCCCTTTGTAAATAATAGAAATGGAGATTCGAAATTACAAATAATATAAAACATTATTCAGTGTATCGGGTGGTTCTCTCTGTAAATGTACACCAATGAAATATGCAAGCTTATGTGCATATTGACATGGAGCTGGTACCCTTATAGTATTAAACGAATTGTAGTACATATGGGTGAGCTTGTACGTCAGTTGTTGAATCATTTCTATATCGCAACCAAGATTATCATCAATTATAATATACGATGTTGGCGTAACAGTGCCCTGTGTACTGTGTTGAGATACGATAAAAAAATTTGGATATACTGGATTAGTAACTATGACGTCATTCACAATTGTGCCACATGGCGGATTTTTTTTCTTATAAAAAAATCGTGTATTCACTCGTTTGTTAACGACTATAAATGCCATTTTTATTGTCTTTTTAATGTCTTCTCCATATACTTTAGCAATTCTCATTTTTATGTTATCTACCTCTTGACTATTGACTAACTTCAATTGACTATCGCCAATACCATCGCGATAGATCACAATATGTTTAGGATATTTACCTTTATTGTATTTTTTATATTCTGATATAAAGTTACAAATATGATTAGCTATGTTATTTGATAATTCCTCACCCTTTTTATGGTTACTTATAGCACTGATATATTTGGTTAAACGTTTGTCTAAAGTACCTACTGTAGCACCTGCAAAAATATTGTTTTTTATTTTTTTTTATTTTTTTTAATACATGAAATCACCGTTCATATATTATAATATATTTCAAATATTTATTGTAAAATACTTACCAATATCAAAGTCTTTAGATCTTTTATCATGACAAACATCAAAACCAATCACCATTAATTCCGAAAATACCGGTGGCAACTCGACATACCATGGAGCTCCACCAAGTTTACAATTCATTTGAACAATTAACTTATGAGCTATGGATTCTTTCTTTGGCGATGTTAAGTTTTGCGAAAAAATCATCTGTGATGGAATTTGGCGGTCAATGCAACATTTCACTTTTAGATTATGATAGCTTTCTGCATTATTCTTGTCATCAGTAATGCAAACAACAAATTGTATCTTTTCGTTCCAGTTATACTCTACCGCATCCATTATTTCATCATAAGTCCCAATCGTAACAAATTTTGGTTTTTTCATGTGAAATTGAATATTGGTTGCTTTGTTAAGCAAAACATGTTCGAATATCTGTAAAATCAAAATTTAATCAATCAATTGATTATTTTAAGTTGATTATTTATTAAAGTCTAAATCGAAGATAAAAATATAATACCATCCAGTCATTTTTATATTTCTCTATAGATATCACAATCCAATCGTCTAATGTTTTAGAATTATACATGCTATTTTTATAAAATAGTGATGGCCAATATCCACATCTATCTTCTATTCCAACTTCTCCAGAGAAAAAAAACTTTGCATAAGGTAATATACGTCCTTCAACTTCAACCAAATCTTTTTGGAATTTTACTTTATATGAATCTAATTGTTGAACAGTCTTCGGTTTAGAGTGAATTTTTTTATTTAAATCTAATAACTTATCAATTCGTTGGTAAGGCCACATTTGTGAAAAGTTGGACATCGTTTTTAATACATTACTATCTTGCATTATATCATTTGTCAGATCTGTATATACATACACATACACACACGCGCGCGCACGCGATTAGTTCGCCTTATATATTAGTTCAATTATATATTATATAATATATAAGTTAGTACATACATCTTCATAAACTGCCTCGATATTAAATATACTCACTCATTTTATAAGACAATTCAGGAATTAAATAAATTAAGCTATTTTGAGTTGCTAGATTACGTGATTTTTGTTGCATGTTTACAATGAGCAAAGGCTGTCTTAGGTCATATATAGTTATATTATATTTGTCCTTATAGTAACCTGCAAATGTAACTTCTGTGTCTAATCGATTTAGTTTAAATATACTCAGTGGTGATAAGCTAAAGTCAACATCTATGATCTTATATGTATTGTAATTGTAATGAGTAAATACAATACATCCTTTGACTTTATCATAAAATGTTTTCTATAAATGTACATTTAATTATTATCATTCATTAGTATTTTGAAGATACTGAAAGTTATTTGTTACATTACCTTTTTGTCCGCACTTTCTTGACATTTATACCAAGTATCTAAAAGTGACATAGTAGAAAAAACTTTGTACGTTGGATCTATGCACACATAAGTATCCATTTCATGTTTCTTAATAAATGTGAAGTAACCTGGCCATACTTCTAGATTATATTTCTCAAGTTTCACCTGTTTTAAAATATATATAACATCCTAAATAAGTAGATATATACATATTTAAATCTATAGGAATTTTTACATAAATACATTTCTACATATTTAAATACTAATGTATTATATTAGGTTGGGGAAAAAAAATCCATTATTTTTTTTTTTTTATTTGATCCAAATCGGACAATCTGAAACATATTAAATAAAGTCTTGAAGTACACGCAAAAATAATGGATTTCTAATATTTTTATTATTTTTATCGTAGTACCTTTATATATGTAGGCCCATGAAACTACGCTACAGATCTGATTAATTGAACAGGAAAACTAAGTTCGCAGAACGATTGGCTCGAGTAAATAAATAAAAATATTTTGTAAGATTATAAATTTTTTGTTCTGCTACACATGGAATAGAAAGAGAAGTGCTAAAAAATATGGCAAAAAAAGAGGACAAAATAATATCAAGACTATTTATATTCTTGAAAGGACAATCTGAGGACAGTTGACAAATGCCAGTTATCGACAGTAGAGAGAGTTAAGTTTAGTTATTTTCGAATGTTTCAAATTATATCGTTATCTTCTTTTCTTTTTCTTTTTTTACTTATAAGTTTCTACTTTAAGCATTGAAATATAACTTTAAAAAATAAAAAAACAAAAAACCATTACTTTAGTCCCTAGTAATTGTTATACTTAGTTAATCCCACATATACATGTAATTATATAAGAATGTATTACGCTTCGACAAATGATATAATCATGGTAATTTAGCTGTTTACTCACTTTATTGTTTTTATCATATAAATTATGACGAATTGATCGTAGATCTAGGTCATTTAAGCATTCCTTTAATATTAAATTGAAACAATACACTATTTGGTTTGGATAACTATCCTTTATTTCTATGGCTTTACGATAATCTATAACTACTATAACATCCTTTTCAACATTGTCTTTATCAACATATTTTGAACTGACTGTATACATCTGAAAGTCAATATTTTCTTATTGCAGATAGATATTATACGTTTATTTTAATATTTCAATATTAGTAAATGTTAATACTTACTCTAGGATAACATTCTGATGAAAATAATGAATTACCGTCATAAATACATCCTTTTAGTGGTGGTGCAGTATTTTGAAGCAAATATTTACGGTTTTTCTTAACATATTGAACTGGAGTAAAATTAACATTATATTGTGTAAAAGCCCAATCTTTAGAATATAGAAACTTGAAATAATTTGTCTGAAGTTTAATAGTTGAACCTACGAATTAAAAATATTTTCTTTCATAGATTATAATCGAGATTTTAAATAATAATTAAATAGATCGATATTTCTATTATTGGAAACGACCAAATATAGAGGGCAAATGTTATATTATACGACATAAAAGAAAAAGAAAGGAGAAAAAAAGAGAGAAGAAAACAAAAAGAAAATAAAAAACATTAAATATTATGACACAGAACGAAAAGAAAAAAAAGCAATCGTATCAAAACAAACACGAACACGTTTCAGAATCTATTATCCTTTATTATCCTCTATGTTTTTTTTTATCCGTTATTTTAAACAAAGCCGATGATTGTTCTTCATCAAACTGTCTGCATGTTAACTAATCTAATTATTTTCATTGACAATCCCTTATTCTGATTCAAAGTTATCATATAAAGACGTATTATAAAAAAAGAAGCGAAGTCTCCATATCTTGGCTAATTATAAGATACCTCAGAATTAAGTAATTTTTTTCAATATCCTTATTTTTCCTTCACTTATATATAAGTAAAATCAAAAACGTTATAATAAGATAAATGTATGTGTGTTTAAAAGAAAAAGAGCACTTCATGGATATGATCATAAAAACTATGTATGTAAATACCTATAAATGATTTACAAAACAAATAGAAAAGGTCGACGGTATCCCGAATTAAGCAAAAACAAAAGTGCCGTGTCAACAAGAAAAAACGTTTGACGTCTTACAAGCCGTTTGGCAAATATTTTAAATTAATATTTTCTTTATTACGAATCCTTTTTTCTGCTTTCCCATTGCTAATCTTAAACTAGCAGAAATTATATCGATAAATAATTATATAGATAAAAATAATAAATGATGAAAGTGTAAATTCATAACATAGATGTTTCATTTATTTTAATTATAAAAAGCAAAACTCACCAGGTTCTGGAAGACTTTGTTTAAGTCTTTTAATTTGCCTCACAGAAGGAGAATAATCTTTAGGACTTCCCGCTAATAAAAATAAATATTTGTATATGAATATTTTTAATATACATTCACGCGTACCTTTTAATTAAGTAATGTATTACTTTGAATATCGTAACTAGTTCCTGCATCACAGTCATCTTCAAATAGTCTTTTCTGACTTAATCTCTACAACATTTGATATTATTCCAAATTATTTATAGCATTGTCTTTAGTTAGTAATAACACATATTATATGAATTCTTTATCGTTAATTTTTAATTATCTTTTCTTAAACCAATGTGCTCAGTATTATATATATAGATAAATAGATAGATAGATATTACTAATATACATTGTTCCATAGTAAAATCAGATCAAAGACATAACATAAGATACACAAAACAAAATTTAGTTAAATGTATGTCAAATTAAGATATACTATATGGAATTTATAAATACGTTCATTGTTAGTCATTACTATAGTCATTGCTACTTTGACTAAATTATATAAGAATTTAGTTTACAATATTCAAAAGAATAAATAAAACTTGTATCATAAATAATGAACATATAGATACATTTTATATCGTACTTGTTAAATAAATTATAATTATCACTAACTTAAGCACACCGTGCATGCACATATTGCATGCGTAAATGTATGTTTGTGAAAATAAAACAAATGTACGAAAAAACCATAAATATATAATTTCTCACAAAAATTACACAAAATATCTATTTAATTTGATGTTTTAATATTTTCTATTATTTTTACTTACTTTGTTTTCTGGCATATATCTACTACGCTGAGACCGTTGTGACATTGATCGCGAAGATCCAGACGACGATAATATTCCTGACTGTGACATTTCACTCAGCGACGATGATGATCCAAAATGATCACTAGGCACGTATGATTCATCAGAGTGGCATTGTTTAACATGCTTGTATTTTCTAGGAGACCGGGATTTTCTAGGAGACCGGGATTTTCTAGGAGACCGGGATTTTCTAGGAGACCGGGATTTTCTAGGAGACTGGTGTTTTCTAGGAGACTGGTGTTTTCTAGGAGACTGGTATTCTCCAGAAGACTGGTATTTTCTAGGAGACTGGGATGTTCCAGGAGACTGGTGTTTTCTAGGAGACTGGGATGTTCCAGGAGACTGGTGTTTTCTAGGAGACTGGGATTTTTCAGGAGACTGGTGTTTTCTAGGAGACTGGTGTTTTCTAGGAGACTGGTGTTTTCTAGGAGACTGGTATTCTCCAGAAGACTGGTATTTTCTAGGAGACTGGGATGTTCCAGGAGACTGGTGTTTTCTAGGAGACTGGGATTTTTCAGGAGACTGATGTTTTCTAGGAGACTGATGTTTTCTAGGAGACTGGTGTTTTCTAGGAGACTGGTATTCTCCAGAAGACTGATATTTTCTAGGAGACTGGGATTTTCCAGGAGACTCGTGTTTTCTAGGAGACTGGTGTTTTCTAGGAGACTGGTGTTTTCTAGGAGACTGGGATTTTTCAGGAGACTGGTATTTTCCAGGAGGCTGGTTTGGTACAGGAAATTGTATTGGTTCAGATTGTGATAATCCATGCTGGTGTAATCCAGGCTGATATGTTACAATTTGCGGTAATCCAGACTGACATGTCCCAGTTTGCGATTGTCCAGGCTGATTTGTCCCAGTTTGCGATTGTCCAGGTTGATTTGTCCCAGTTTGCGATTGTCCAGGCTGATTTGTCCCAGTTTGCGATTGTCCAGGCTGATTTGTCCCAGTTTGCGGTAATCCAGGCTGATATGTCCTAGTTTGCGGTAATCCAGGCTGATATGTCCCAGTTTGCGTTTGTTCAGGCTGATTTGTCCCAGTTTGCAGAAATCCAGGGTGGTATGTCCCAATTTGCGGTAATCCAGACTGATATGGCCCAGTTTGCAGAAATCCAGGCTGATGTGTCCCAGTTTGCGATTGTCCAGGCTGATTTGTCCCAGTTGGCGGTAATCCAGACTGATATGGCCCAGTTTGCGGTAATCCAGGCTGATATGTCCCAATTTGCGGTAATCCAGACTGATATGGCCCAGTTTGCAGAAATCCAGGGTGGTATGTTCCAATTTGCGGTAATCCAGACTGATATGGCCCAGTTTGCAGAAATCCAGGGTGGTATGTCCCAATTTGCGGTAATCCAGACTGATATGGCCCAGTTTGCAGAAATCCAGGCTGATGTGTCCCAGTTTGCGGTAATCCAAGCTGATATGTCCCAGTTTGCGATTGTCCAGGCTGATTTGTCCCAGTTGGCGGTAATCCAGACTGATATGGCCCAGTTTGCGGTAATCCAGGCTGATATGTCCCAATTTGCGGTAATCCAGACTGATATGGCCCAGTTTGCAGAAATCCAGGGTGATATGTTCCAATTTGCGGTAATCCAGACTGATATGGCCCAGTTTGCCGTAATTCAGGCTGATATGTCACAGTTTGCGGTAATCCAGGCTGATATGTCCCAGTTTGTGGTAATTCAGGCTGATATGTCCCAGTTTGCGTTTGTTCAGGCTGATTTGTCCCAGTTTGCGATGGTTCCAACTGGTATGATAAAGACGTTTGTGGTGGTGCAGGCAAGTATGATGCTGCAAGCGAGTATGGTTGCGTAGTCGGGCATGACTGTGTAGAGTAATATGATTGTTGTACTTGCGATGGTCCAGGCTGGGATGTTTCATACTGTGAAGGTTGACTTTGATCTGGTCTATCTAAACGATGTACTCTTTCAGGTTGTATATTAGGTGACGTTTGTTCATGTTTTTGATCACCACCTCTATCTTGTTCCATTTTATATACTATTAAATTCGTATATAATGTTAAAATTTCAGTCCTGAAATATTTAAATTATAGATTAAAAGTAGAATTTTTAAATATTATAAATATACATTAATGCCTTTGACAATCTAAATTTATATTTTAATACATATACATTAGATATTTAAAACATTACATATTTTAATATATAATAATATTTATAAAGCTTTTAATCAAATTGTATTTAATTTTAAGAAATCGAATTGAAATTAAAATTTCTACACAAAATTTCTTGTGTATGCTTTTCTGTTATACGTGAGCAAAAATGTCAATACACACATGAGTACGAATATTGTTTAATCTATTCAAAATATATTTGCTGTAAATAATAAATCGGAAAATACAAATTATGAGAATTTATTTATTAAAAATAGGAAAGATTGTATAAAACGGATATTCTTTGTTCAATATTTATAACACGCAAACAATCAATTCTATTACTTTTATTCGTAAAAATTGTTGATATATAATACAGATAATTAAATAAAAGAAAATTCAAAATATAATGTAGACTATCTGTATGTAGAATATATGTAATCTATTTTTTTAAAGATAGATCTATTTAAAGAATATTATCTAATGAGCAAATAATTTCTTACCTTTTGATATCTTATTGGTGTCTTACCTCTTTGATGTTTCTTCGGTTAATGAACAGTTATAAGTAATCGAAATTTTTTTTCTTTTGAGCCGATTTCTTAAGTCAAGCGTTATGCGCAAGCTTTCTTTTAGTTATGCGCTCCACCTAAGTACCATCTCTGTTAGCAAGATACCTACTTACCGACTGAACTGCAATAATTTTGGTGTTACCGACAATGTAAATGCCAATATGAAACTTATCGATTAAGGCTGTTCATCATATTTTACTTGTAAAATACATAACCAGCAACAAATATGAACAAAATATAAACTACAAAAATGCAATAGAGAAACACAATCTCTACTATATACCTATTCCATCGGTTCATAAGATTGCGTAGGTTATAGTATATAGTTTAGTAGGCTATGAATTGACACTTTTCAATACCTCATATTTATATTCTTCTTGGATGATGGCATGTGATTCTTTTTAGATTCGTTAGCGACGATATCCATTTATTTTACAATATGAACGCATAAAAAATAATAAATATAATTGATACATATATAATAACTAGCATATAAATTTGCGACAAAGAAAAAACAAGATTTCGTCGGATATTTTATAAAAAATAATAATTTATGACAACTTATATATTAAATATTATTTTATATAATATAATTAGATATGTATTTTTTCTCTACTTCTTTTTTTTATTATTATATTATATATTATTATAATATATATTATTATTATAATGTTGCATCGTAAGGGTGCAATTATAAGAGCGTTTTTAGATAAGCGCCTCGCCACAGCGTCTCGTCGGATCAGCGATGATAATCGATTTGTACAGAAAATTTCTCCTGTCTCTTCCTTGTCGTTAAAGTTACAGACGCACTGTACGACGATGAATAAGGACAACGGCACTAGGCTGGGATACCGTTGAAGGCCTTCAGCAAAATACCATTCATCGTGTTCCCGCAAATTAATGGAAGAAAAGAATCACGTGAAACTAGTGAGGTAGATGCGCGATAATAAATATTGCGGGAATTGAAGTATATTTGTTGAAATAAGATACAGTTGTTGATGTGTTTTGTATAATAATGTGTAGTTAATTGTGTTGGCTATTTCTGAAGGAATGATAGCCAGTAATGTTTAATAAGACTCAAAGATTTAGATGTCGTGAGTTTGAAATATTTAACTTGACTGATTTTTTGACGTCTTTAAAATTATCCGCGAAGACTGTAATGAAATTAGGAAAGGGAATGAAAAAAGCAGAGTTGAAGTATGATCTGAGCATAAAAAAGGAAGGAAAAGATGCTTATAGTTCGAGAGTAGGTTAGGATAGTTTCTTAGAATGTTTAAACATTCCATGTGTGTGCCCCCTTTGTACTAATGATCATTTAGATTAGAGAGTGTCAATGGATATTTCAAAGCTAGAAACCAAATAACCCTTGGCTTATCACGTTTAGGCATCTATTTAATTATTGGCCGACTCGACGCATTATTGAAAACCAGGTACTTGAATAAAAATGCCTAAACTCAGTGGCAAATGCCTAAAAAGGTGACAATGTGTTTTTTATCTATACGTTTTTCTAGCGAGTAATCAATGTGTTTCTAAGGCCTGATATGTCTAATAGTGACATATGATCCTTAGAAAAAAATACTGTTAACAATTGAGGGACACATGTGTCCGTCAACATATAGTAATAGTAATAATACTATATATGCTATGAGAAAAACAACAAAAAAATAGCTTTAAAAATTCTACTTTATAAATGGTTAAGATATGGATACATGTTTTGATTTTTATAAAAATAATATATAATATATAAATATTGTAGAGATATTTTCACTATCTTACCTGGAAAATATGAACTGATAAACTCGGCACATGTCTTCTTGATTAACAAGGATTTTATTAATAAAAATATAATAACAAAGATACTACAACTAAGACTCTTTAAATAAAATACTACAATCCTTTGCTGTAAATCTGACCCATTAAAAACTTTACTCTTTCTCTGATTTTCTTCAGATTTTAACTCTTAACTCTTTACTGTCTTTACTCTTGGTCTATTTTAGGTCTCTTTACTAACGATTTTAAGAACATTTCGAGCTTCTTAATCTTCTAATTTTCAAACGATAAACAATTCTATCTAAAAAGTTAACACATTTATTATAATTAATATCTTGAAATAAAATAAATTGAAAATTTAATTTAAACAATTTTTCATTGATCGATAGTACCTAAAAATATTTAAAAATTAAATAAAAGAATGTCTTAATATTAAAATCTCATTATGTTCTGTCAAATATAATATTTATTTTAATCCATCATACCTAAAAATACAAAAATATATTATTAATTATATTATTTTATTGTTTCTATTTTTTTTTATCTTTGTATACAAAAATAAACTAACTATATTAATATAATTTTATATATATATATATAATATGTATAAAATTATAAGCTATGAATATCTTTACATGAATATAATTTGCTACATCGATCTTGTCATTCCCTATATCGGCAAAAAAAAAAGAACTCCTTCCCCTTTCAATTACATCATACATATACAATAAGCGTATTGTAAAAGATCGCAAGAATATCATTATTATACCATACATAAATATGTGATAAGTCTTTCTGATGTAACTTGATGGGCTTAATCAAACAGTTAATCAAATGGTTTTATACAAAAAAAAATTATATATTTTAAATAAAATATATAATAAAAAAAGATAAATAAAATAATTTTAATAAATTGAATGAAGTTGTCTATAAGTAAAGCTATAGTTAAAAAAAAAAAAAAAAAAGAAATACACACACACACACATACACACACACAATCTCCCCATCCTCTCTGTCAAAAACTTCTGGGAAAAAAAATAAAACATTATTGGTATCATGTCACATTCGCGACTATACGTAAATACATGAGTATACGCGCGCGCGCGCGTGTGTGTGTGTGTGTACATTTATATATCTATGTATGATGTACGTATGTCGCAATATAAAGAATAAAAATGGAGATTTGATATTACAAATAATATAAAAGATCTTCCAAACGAGTGTTTGGAGCTCGATGCACATATTGACCAACTAAATATGCAAGCTTATGTGCATATTGGCATGGAGCTGGTACTCTCACAGTACCAGACCAATTGTAATACATATGCGTAAGCTTATAAGTGAGTCGTTGCATTTTATCTGCATCGAGACCAACAGTATCGTCAATTACACTGTACGAGGTGGGCGTAACAGTGCCCTGTTTAACGTGTTGTGATACGATAAAAAAATCGTATTTTACTGGACTTGTAATTACATCGTCCACAACTGTGCCACATGGCGGATTCCTTTCATTATAAAAAATTCGTGTATTCACCCGTTTGTTAACGATTATAAATGCCATTTTTACTGCCGCCTCGCTTCCATATATTTGACCAAGTCTTTTTCTTATTTCCTTTACCTCATGATTATAAACTAAGTGCACTTGACCTTCACCAACACCATCGCGATAAATCACAATACGATCAGGATATCTATTGTCATTGTATTGTCGATATGTTGCTACAAACTTACAAATATGACCAGCTATATCATTTGATAATTCTTCGCCATTACTATGTGGACTTACAGCACTGATATATCTGGTTAAATTTTTATCTAAAGTAGCTACTACAGCACCTGTAAAAATATTGTTTTTTAATTTTTTTTTTTTTTTTTTTTTTTTTTTTATAAATACATAAAATCATCGCTCATAGATCACAGTACGTCTCATTTGAAGATAATTTTATTGTAAAAATATTGCTTACCAAAATCACGTTCTTTCATATTTGTATCATGGCAAACATCAAAACCAACTACCATTAATCCCGAAAGCGGTACTTCGACACACCATGGGACTCCACCCAGTTTACAATTCATTTGAATAGCTATCTTTGTAGCTACGGATAATCCTTTTATTAAATTTTTCCTAATAACTACCTGTGACGGGACTGGACGGTCAACGCAACATTTCTTTTTTATAGTACTGTAGCGCTCAGAACGATTATTCGTAACAACGCAAAGAACTATTTGTGGAATAGATTTACTCAGCAAACCTTCTAATGCGTCAGAATATGTACCAGATCGATCATCCGCAATTGAAAACATTCTTGGACGTTCTATACTAAATCCCATTCCACCTCCTACTTTTATAAGATTTTTTAAGAAATCCTGACAAATCAAAATTCAATTAAACAGTTGATAAAGACCAAAAATATTTGTGTTGAAGTCTAAGTTGTTAATAAAAAAAAAATATACCTCGCATTCTCGCTTTAAGTTTGATGTATAGATTAAAATCCAATTTTTCAAAGGTTTACATGCAAGTAAATGTTTATTACGCAATTCTCTTGTCCAATCTGCTTCTACACCTGCAGCTATAGAGCCTGCACGAAAAACTACTTTTTCAGTAGGTAATACACGTCCTGGAATTTCAATCAAATTATTTTCCAATTCTAAGTTCCATTCCTTTAATTCTTTAACAATATTTGGTTGAGAACAGAGTCTTTTGTTAAACATTAATAATTTCCGAATTCGTGATTCAGGAGAGACTCGTGTATGTATCGCTAACGCTTGCATCAAATCAAAATTCGTTCTCATATTATCCGTCAAACCTATACACAACCACATATAAAAAATTATTTTCCAGTAATATTTTTTAATACGTATATTTTCATAAATTTCCTCAATATCAAATATATTCATATATATATATATATATATATATATATATATATATATATATATATGTATGTATACCTGTCGCACGACATAATTCAGGAACTAAGTAAACTAAGCGATTCGACTGAGTTGGTAGATTACGTGATTTTTGTTTTCCTTCAGCAACGAGCATAGGTTGATTATCGTACTTTATAATTTTATTATATTTATTCTTGTAATAATCCTTATATGTTACTGACTCTCCTGATTTAAGTTGAAATGTATTCTTTGGTGTTAAGCTAAAGTCAACATCCATGATCCGATATGTATTGTTATTGTAATCAGTGAGTACAACGGATCCTAAGACTTCTTCATAAAAATTTTTCTATAAATGTATATTTAATTATTACTATTCATTAATATTTTAAAGATACTGAAAGTCATATGTTAAATTACCTCTATATTGCCTGTATGCTCTTGACAACCTCTCCAAATGTCTAAAAGTGTATCCTGACGCATAACTTTATGAGTTATTTCTGCACACATAAGAATATCTCTTTCATGTTGCCTAATGGATGTGAAATAACCTGGCCACAATTCCAATTTATACTGAGCAACTACTACCTGTTATTAGTACACAAGTAAATATATATATATATATATAAAATAATAAGTAATATATATATATAATTATATATTTATTATATATAAATATATGTATATATTATTTAAATTTATAGAAATTTACACATAAATACATTTCTACATATATAAATATTTATATATATTGTACTTTTATTATCTTTATCGTAGCACCTTCATACATGTAGGCCTACGGATCCGATTACTCGAGCACGAGGTAGATATGCAAAATAGAATCGAGCAAATAAATAAAAATATTCTATAAGATTACCAGTTTTTTGTCGTGCTACACAAGGAATAGAAAGAGAGATTCTAAAACATTTGGTAATAGATACACATACACATACAGAGAAAGCAAAATAATATCAACTTCATATTTTTGGAAGAACAGTTTGAGGACAATTGACAAAAGTCAAGTATCGAAATAAGGGCAAATTAAATTTAGTTATTTTTTAATGTTTCAAATTATATTGTTATCTTCTTTTTTTTTTTTATTACCTAAGTAAATTTATCATCTTAAGTAAATTTCTACCTTAAGCATTTAAATATAACTTTAAAAAATAAAAGAAAAAACTATTACTTTACATCCTTAGTGATACTTATACTTAGTTAAGTCCACATATACATGTATATTAAAATGTAACACGCTTCGACAAATGACAATCATGATAATTGAAGTTTTTTACTCACTTTAGTTTCTGCATCATAATAATCACGACCAACTAATTGTAGCTTTAAATGTTCCAAGCATTTTCTCATTATTATGTTGAAAAATTGCAAATAATGATGATCATCTTTAGCCAAATCTCCAACAAATTTGATGCTTATCGTGATTTTTTCATCATCAAATTGTCTTTTTGATAGAAGATCCATTTTCTGAAAGTCATTATTTTCTTCTTATTGCAAATAAATATTTTACATAATATTTTATCATAATATTTCAATATTAATAAATGTTAAAACTTACTTCAGGTAAACGGTGACTTGTATATAGTACAGTACCATCAAAAATATATGCACCCAATTTTTCTTTATGATTTCTAAGTAAAGCTTTACGAATAAGAGTATGATCTTCTTCTGGAGCGAAATCAACTCTATATTGAAAAAGAGTCCAGTTTGTAGTAGATGGTAACTTAAAATAATTTGCCCGAAGTATAACTGGTGTACCAAAAATTCCTACAAATTAAAACAATTTTTTTTCATGGAATATAATTTAAACGATAAGCAATAATTTGATAGATTAAAATTAAAGCTACAATTGAAATCTATTCGGGTAGAGCTCAAGGATTCATGCGATACAGAAGGAAAAAAGAAAGAAGGGAAAAAAAATAAATACATGAAATATAGGACACGACCACGAGAGCGAAGCGAAAAGAAAAAGTGTTCGCAAAAAGGATAAACACAATCACATTTAAAAACCTATTATTTTTTCTATGTCCTACTGCTCTCCTTTAAATAACGATCCAGTGGCGGATTTACATACGGGCAGTGAATGAAAACGATCGCTTTGGCTCCCATAAAACAGAAACTCTCACACATAATAAATTTAATTTAATATCTGATGGCTGATATATAATTTTTATTTCTATATTTTCGGTTATAATCTATAAATTTTCGCAGTATATTTCTTACTTCGTTATTTGCATGAACAATTAAAGCTAGAAAATATATCATCCACATATTGTGCATAATTGATTTATTTTAATGCGATCTTCAAAAATTTTTAATGTCTCAGATTCCTTAAAGTATATTGTATACTAATCATCCTTTTTTTCATATCAAATCGACTAATTTAATTTTTTTCATTGCTAATGCCCTAAACTGGTTCTAAATTATCATATAAAACTGTATTGTAGAGAACAAAATAACATCAGAAAATTACGTCTTAGTCAATTCTCTTAAGATCCTCCAAAATCAGATAATTTATTTCAATATTCCTAATCTTTATTTAGCATATAAGATAAATAATCTATTTCATCTAGATACATTAAGATAAGTATATTTTTAATAGCATATAAGTGCTATGAAAGAAAAGTGCTATAAGAAATGTAAATAATAAGGTGAACCTGTGTATGTGAATGTTAAAAAAAAAAAAAAAAAAAAAAAAAAAAAAAAAAGTTTTTAGGACATTCATAAAAAGTATGCGGGTCTGTATACTTACAAACAACTTAAAAAACAAAGGAAGGTCGACAATGTATCAAATCAAACGAAAATAAAAGTGTTGTGTGAAAAAAATGCTTTACGTATTACTAGAGATTTGAGTTTTAATTAACTTATTTTTCATTATAAGCCCTCTCGTTCATTTTTTCACTTCTGATATATTGCAGAAATAATATCCAGATAAAGCGAATTGTTACAATATATATTTTATAATTAATATTAAAAGCAAAACTTACCTTTCTTTGTAGGCAAATTTTGTGGTCTTGTAACTAACATAATGTCTGTAGGTACTGATCTTCTACCTCGCATGGCACCTCTACCAATTGAAGCATCTCCACCACCTCCTACTAATAAAAATCCATATTTATACATGAATATTCTTAATACGCATTCGCGCATCTTTTAATTAATTAATGTATTACTTGGAACATCTTTCGATTTAGAACTAGCTCCTCCAGAATAGCCTTGTGGATCTCCTCGTACTCCTCGTGCAAAAGTCTACAATATTATCAATATTATAAATATTATTACAAATTATTTATAGCATTGTGGTTAGTTAATAGTAACATATATTATTTGAATTTTTTATCACTAAATTTTATTAACATTAATATAAATTGATGCGTTTAATCATATATATGTAAATATTTCTAACATACATTGTTTCATTATAAAATGAGACCAAGGAGATAATATAAGATATAAAAAATAAAATTCTGTTAAATGAAGAGATAAATTCATATTATAGGAAATTTATGATTACTGATATATACAAGAATATATTTACAGCTATTTTTACTAAATTATATATGAATTTAGTTTATAATATTCAAAAGAATAAATAAAATTTATTTATTTAAATGAATTGATATATTTATACTGTATTTATTAAATAAATTTTAATTACATTACTAAGTTAAGAACAAGATGTATGAATATAATATATGCGAAAATATGAAAAATGAAAAGAAGTATAGATAAAACTATAAGTAATATAAATTATATTTGATAAGTTTCCTACATAATTATATAAAACATCTATATAATTTAATATTTTAAACTTTTTATTATTTTTATTTACCTGAGCTGGTTTCATAGGTCTCGGCCATGCTCTTTGTGATGGTCCAGGTTGCGATGGTCCAGGTTGTGATGGTCCAGGTTGCGATGGTCCAGGTAGCGATGGTCCAGGTTGCAATGGTCTAGGTTGCGATGATCTAGGTGATAATATAGGTTGTGATGGACTTGCCTGAGTTTGACTTGGGCCTGGTCTACGCACCCAAGCATCAGTTGTTGGTGAAGTAGGTGATTGAACAGGTGTTTTTGAACGACCTCGACCTCGACCTCGGCCTTTACCTTGTTGCATCTTATATATTATTGAGTTCGTATATACTGTTAAATTTGTAATATACTGTAACATTTAAAATGACGCATGAAAATTATAATTTTAAATATTATAAATTTAAATATTATAAATATAAATTTATTCCCAATTTTACTTTTCATTTGAACACATAAACGTTACATATTTTAATATATAAATAATATTCATAAAACTTTTAATTAAATTAAATTATTGTCTTTAATTTTAAGATATCCAATTGAAATTGAAATTTCAACAGAAAATTTTTCAAGTACGCCTTTCTATTATATATGAATAGGAATATCAAAACATACATTTATACAGTATATAATCTTCTTTAATTTGTTAAAAAAAATTCGAATTGTAAAACTTTATTAAAGCAAACAAAAATACGAAAGATAATATGAAACGCATGGTCTTTGTTCAATATATTTTATAGAACACGCAAACGATCAATTCTATTACTTTTATTCGTAAAAATTATTGATATATAATATTTAAAAATAATTACGTAAAAGAAAATACAGAATATGATGTAGAGGAAATTTCAAAGGTAAGATTTATTTAAATGATATCTGATCTCAAATAATTGAATTAATGTCTTACCTTTTTAACGTTTCTTCGTTTAATGAATAAGAAATCAGAATTTGTCTCTTACCGCGATTTTTACACGCTGAGACATTATGGGTAATTTCTTGCATTTTCTTTGTTACTAGATAAGTCTCCAAAATTAAGCTTTATTTTCAACTAAAAATTTTAGTAATATTTTTTCTTAATGCAAACAATTGTAAAACTCTTCATACAATGTGCATAATATGACCAATCATCAATAATATATTCAATCTTTATTGTGATTCTGTCCGTTTCTATCTTGATTCTGTTTACAAAATATCTTTTGTGTCAAATTTTAACTTACAAACGAAATCATAACCTTATTGACTTTGTCGAATTAATAATCATCGTAACTATTCTTTCATTATTCAAAAATTTATCATATAAAAGCTGAATAGAAAATATATTAGGAACGTACAATAAACTGACACCTGTCAAAAATTTTATAACAATAACCTATAAATGTTATTTGAATAATTAAAAAACATTATTAATTCAGGTATTATTGTGCACAAAGAGTAATTCTTATTTTAATTCTTGTTGCATATTATTATACAAATTATATTTATCTGATATATTTCTGATAATAGAGTTCATATTTATATATATATTATATATTATATTTCTTGTAAATTTGTAGCACAATGGGTGAGAGAAAAGGAACAAATTTATATTATCCACCTGATTATGATCCACGCGTTGGTGGACTTAATAAATTTCTTGGAACACATGCATTACGTGAAAGAGCACGGAAAATTCATATGGGTATCCTTATTATTCGGTTTGAAATGCCATATAATATATGGTGTAATGGTTGTGGAAATCATATTGGAATGGGAGTACGATACAATGCAGAAAAGAAAAAAATTGGAATGTATTATAGTACTCCACTTTATCAATTTCGTATGAAATGTCATCTTTGTGACAATCACTTTGAAATAAAAACTGATCCTGCTGTAAGATATAAGATATATTTATTACTATCATATATGTGACTTTATAATTATACATAACAATTATACATATTTCAGAATTTAGATTATGTTATTGTAAGTGGTGCTAGACGTCAAGAGAACCGATGGGATCCTAAAGAAAATGAGCAAATCGTTCCAGAAACAAAAGAAGTTTCTCATCGACTATATGACGACGCAATGTATAAATTAGAACATAAAGTTGAAGATAAAAAGATAGCCAAATCACGAGATAAAGTATTAGAAAGCGCTATTTCTTTAAATGATGCCACATGGAAGGATGATTATAGTTCAAATTGTGCATTAAGATCTGCATTTAGGGTATTTATAATATAACATATTTCTATAATAATTGTAAAACAGTATACTAATTCAACATATATAAAACATATAAACAAATACAAAAGATCATTTTATATATAATGATAATTATTTTATATGTCATAGGCTAAAAAGAAAGAACTTAAAAAAAAACAAGGATTAAATCAATTATTATTAAATAAATCTGGATTAAAAATAGATTTAGTAGAAGAACATGAAGATGATATTAAAACAGCTAAATTACTTATACATAATACAAAAAAAGGTAAGTTTATAAAATGTTGTTTGTACTTATTTTTAAGTTTGAATAATAATATGCTTATAATTTTTAATTTTAGATGTAGTTCATACAACACCATTAAAAAAATTAGTTTCCATTGTACGTTCGAAAAATAAAACAAAGAATATATCACAGTCTTTGCCAAGAAAAAAAACTAATATAAGTAAACAGATATTACCAAAGGTAGATATAGCAACATCATCAAAAAGTACTAATATCTCCACTTCCTTAGTTAATTACGATGGTTCATCTACTGACACTGAAGCATAACGTACGTTTTCAAACTTTTAATTATAATGTAAATATGTAATTAATATTGAATGTAAACTTTTGAGATGTTTTATTATTTAATATATAACATTTGTATATAATATTTAAAATAAAAAAAAAACTCTGATAAATATGGAATTATACGTGAACTATAGATATATAAATATATTTTGGAATATTTTGTAAAAGAAAAAAATCTAAATGTTTGATTCTTAATCATTGATGTAAATTTTACATGCTTTCTTATATCGATGAGAATTTACAATTATTTATTTACGGTTATTTCCTAATCTATTTGTAATATATATATATATATATATATATATATATATATATATATATATATATCAGTTGCAATTAAAAATAGATTGTACAAATTAGAATTAAAATTAAAAAATTTTTTGATATTGAATTCAATATTATAATACTGAGTTCAGTTTTATAATATCAAGGAGAATTAACGTGCTTTGTAGTCAATTAAAAATTGTTAATTGATCAATAATTTAATGCAAATATTGTACTATATTATATTTTGATATTCTTAAGTTTTTTCATACTTTAACATTAATAATAATATATCTTTATTATGAAAACACAAAATAGTAATAAAATAAAAGAAATATATTCTGATAAGTTTTCTGATGTCAAAGATAAATCCAGTGGAGTTATTAGTGATGATGAGACAAATAATAATGTACAGATGTAGTATAAATGAAAAAAAATTAAACAATTAATCTGTATTAGTGAATGTAGTAACGAGAATGTAGTAGCGAGAACGAAACAGATACTCATAACATTAAGTAGAAAAAATATGATACAAAAAGAAATTTAGAAGTTTTTCATGATATTAAAATATTTTCGAATGATCTTCAAAGTATAAATGAAATTAACAGGTATTATGTTCATATGTATCCTAGATATAATAATCAAAATAAATCAAAAAAAGTAGATCTACAGTGACACTACAGTGGCCAAGATAAAAAAATTTCTAAGTCCATATTTTAATGAAACAAGTCTCAAAAATAATAATAATAATGAAATAGAACTTTATAGCCTTTGCATTTGTCCAATAGTACAGAAATTATACAAAATTCAAATAAGTTATGTAACATTGAATCTGCAATTATTTTTTATATAAGTTCAATACCATGTACAAATCTAAATAGGAACTTTCCTTGAATGAATTTATAATACCATACCATATGAACAACTTTACTTTTGGATTTATAATCCAAATAAAATTACAAAATACAGAATTCAATCTAAAATGTTGTGTAAGGCAAATATTAAATATATTTGTAATCTTAAGCTATATTTACACAGTTTAGAAAATATTTCAATTGTTTTAAATAAAAACATTAACATACATGTAGCATTATGTTCATATGGACAATTATTGCAATAGCTTTATAATAGCTGAAAGTTTATTAATGAAAAATATTTGGATTTATGGTAGAATAAGAAAAAATAAAAGTTTTCTAAAGAAAGAAAATACTGTAAAATTGAAAATAAATAAATATGATTTTCAACGAAAAAGTAAGATGCTAACTCTTAAATAAAATGATATAAAGGAAGTTTGTATAGTATCAACGATACGTAACAGTTTAGATTATTGAGAAATCTACAACAAGTAGATATTGTAGAGACTGATAAAATGAACAGAAAAAAAAAAGTAATTCATAAATCCGAGTTCATAGAAAGATACAATAGACAAATAATGTTGACCTTATTGATCAATATCTGTCATATTATTATTTTTAAGAAAATTAAAAGTTCAAGAATAAAAAAAGTATCTATAATTATATCGTAGAATAAACAATAGTTTAAAAAAATGTATTGACACGTCCTTCATATGTAAATCCTATGTAGAATTTCTGTATATAAAAAATCATTATTTCCAGAATTATCATACAAGAAGTATTAAATTTTATTTTTCCATATTTTTATAATTTTTTATCAAAATACATGTAATGAATGAAATAAAAATAATTAATAATAATAATTATAAGTAATTTAATGTATATTATAAAAGCATGTAAGCAATATCTAATACATAAATATCAAATACATTCATAAAATTGTAGAATAGGTAAATGGGTTTTAAAATATATTATTTTTATTTTAATCTTTCTCAAATTTATTATATTCTCTATATGTTATTTGTAACATGAAAACTTTTTTTTTTTTTAATTAATTTCAAAGAACAATTTTTTATAAGCCCGATAAAAATTTGTTTAATTTTCATCCTTGTTTTAATGACAGAAGTTCGCAATAACCAGTTTTGAAATTTTTTTTTCTATTGTAATTGGTTTTCAGTATAAGAAAATTGAAAAAAATATTGTGAATTTGCTTTGAATGTATTAACACACACACACATACACGCGCACGCACGCATACACACATATTTATACTTAAACATCAATAAATTGTTGTGGTTCAATATTTTGTTCTGGCAATGATAATTTTTTCTTTACTACATAGATCTTCTTATTTGAAAGACAAATAATATAACAATGATCTGGATATGTAATTGATATTTTTTCAAAAGCTTCACCCATGGGAAATGCTTTTGGGTCTATTTTATTTGTCAACATTACCAAACCCACAATAACACTAGCAATTCTTTCATCATTCTCTAAATCGCCACCAGACTGAAATATAACGAAAAAAAACATTTTCTTTATACTAAATACATTATTTTATGATAACACAGATCTATATTAACATATCAATGTCAAATATAATTATTAAAGTATTACCGATATTACTGCTCCATCCTCTGTTAGAACTAAATATCCAATTTGGTCAGGGATTCTTTCGATAGATAACATTTTTAATCAGTTGTTTTTCTTTTTCTTTTTCTTTTTACAATTATTAGCACTAATATTTACGATTTATAATAGACAAACGCATAATTTTGTATTTTCAACGTAGTTATTTATTAATAACTATTTACAGCTATTATCAATATTTCTTCTTCTTCTTTTATTATGTCAGCATGATACGTTTGCACAATATTACATTAAAATTCTCGAGTTTTTCCACTAACAATACTTGCTATAACGAAAAACAATGAAGAAACTCATGTAATGAGAGAAGCAATGTGATTGGTAGAATAGGATTTTATTATGGTAGACGCTGTTTCCTTTATTTCAAAAAAAAAAGAAAAAAGTATCGACGAATGAGACACATGAATATAAATATGTGATATAACAATATGTTTTAAAATAAAAATAGAAATAGTCTAATTGAAAATTGAGATCTTTTTCTTTTTTTCTTTTTTTTTTTTTTGCTATTTAGAAATATATTTTGACAAGATAGGTTAAAAGTCTATGAAGATATATCACATTTCAAAATTCTTATAAATTAAATGTTAATTTAATTTATTATTAATAAAAAATGACAGTATTAGATGATAAAAATAATAAAACTTAATTTTGGAACTATATTATTATCGATTTTCGACAATCGAAAGAAAAGCATTATTAATAATAAATATCGATATTTTTATCGATAAGTATCGATATTTCATCGATTTGCAACTAAACGTCAGTCTATGTGGAAGTGAGGTAAAGAAGGCGTATCGCTTTCAATTGACAATTGACAAGCTTTTTGCTTCGATTCTCAAATAATTTGAATATTAGTAAAAGGTATCAATTTTTGTTGATTGTTTTTCAAAATAAAATATTATAATCATAATTTTACATCATTTTTCTTTATATAAAAAATTTGATTATTGTCAGAGATATGTAGATATTTTAAATTTTCGCATTTTTTTTTCTTTCTCTCTTTCTCTCTATTTTTATGTGCATAAAATAAATTTCGTTAGTTTTGTTAAAAAAACTTTCGCTATCGATGTTATATAGATATATAAACTTTAAAGGAATTTTGAATTTTATTCAAAGTTAGCAAGAAGACACCATAGGCCTTAAACATTGATCCAAGTATGGTTTGCTATATTGAGTCCTTATTTAATTTTCCTATGTATAACATAAGAATTCTCTAACTGTATTTAATATCGATTTTTCATTTTCGAAGGTAGATCTTAATAAAGTACCTTTCCAAAAATCAAGATGACAGACTCAAAATATTTTACTACTACAAAAAAAGGTGAAATATTTGAACTTAAATCAGAATTGAATAATGATAAGAAAGAAAAGAAAAAAGAAGCTGTTAAAAAGGTTTGTATCTTTTCATTTTCTTTTTTTTTTATTATTAATAATATTATTATATCACATGATATCTTTTCAAAATCCTCATCTATGGGAAGAAAACTTAATTACATAACAAAAATATTGTTAATAATATTAAATTAAATTAAATTAAATTACCATAGTAAAATTATATACAAGAGTAATCTAATTTGTTTAGGTAATTGCATCCATGACAGTGGGCAAAGATGTATCTGCGCTATTTCCCGATGTTGTTAATTGTATGCAGACAGATAATTTGGAATTAAAGAAATTGGTTTATTTGTATCTCATGAATTATGCTAAAAGTCAACCAGATATGGCCATCATGGCTGTCAACACATTCGTTAAGGTAATGTAGCGTTAGAAACTCATTGATTTACTACTAAATTTTATTAATGCACCTTCATCCTTTAAATAACTTATTGACACTTGGATGATGTTGAGAGTCTCTGTCTGCAAAGAGGCAAGCTGAAAATATTTTTTAAAGAGAGGTTCTCTTAATGAGAACAAATTGTGTCAAAAACAACTATAATTCCTTTTGCAGCCTGCCTCATACTATGTACAGACTGTGCTTTGCAAATTACACCAGTTTGTACAGAGCTGTCTGCGTTATGGGACGGAATGTACTTCTCCTTTCGTATTTTCTGAATTGCTTATTTTTCAAAGGGCACGAGCCTGGAGTTTGGCTGATATGAAATATTATGAATATTATATAAAAGGAGTAAACATCACAATTACATACAATTACAATGTATTAATTGTTATTGCGTATCACCAAATTCCAGAATTTATTTTCGATCAAGCATATAAATATAGCAGGAATGTTTCTATATAATAATTATGATATTTAACAAAATTTATTCATAAAAGGGTTTTAAAGGATCTGGATTAATGTTAATTTTTTGACACTAATGCACCAGTACAATTACTTTTCCAAAATTAAGCATGGAATTTTCTCATATTCACACAATATATTTTGCAATTAAACAGCTTGTAGCATATTGTGTAATTGTGTCACAGCTGTATATTTGCAATAAGAATATAATTGGCCTTTAGTTTAACTGCCATCTAATACAATATCAATGGTAGAAAAATGGATTCTCTTATATAATGCCTACAATGTAAACAGCATGATTCATCCAATTCTTTAAATGTCATTTTATATGTATTATTGCATTATAAATTGATGCCTGATACAATGAATAGGTCTGCTAATTGCACGAAAATTATTTCACTCTTTTCAGGATGTATATGTCATTAATAAATGTAATTGATGTTGAAAAAAATATTTTATAACACAGTTAATATGGAATATTTATGTACATCCTTTAATGTTCAACAGATTCTTAATAATATTTAAGTATTCTTTCACGCGCATGAATACAAAATTAATGTCAACTTTCTTACATTAACTTTGATATTTCAACTCAAAATAAAGAACATTTGTACAGTAAAGCCTTAAAATATCTCGTGCTCTTTAAAAAATGATCAGTTCTGTATAACATTATATTACATGGTTCATAAGTATAATATTTAACTATTAATAAAAATGGTGACGGTGACCAATTTGACCTTTTTCGTTCTGACACGCAAAAGGAGCTAGCGACATCTCCGATGACAAAGGTACCATACCAATTTCTACTTTGTTAAAATTCATGGGCTGAGATAGATAGCCACTGCTGTGACTAGACTTGAATCCCTGGCTTGCCCGATTTTTGCGCAGGACTGTGAGGATCCAAATCCACTGATTCGAGCATTAGCAGTTCGTACAATGGGGTGCATACGTGTTGACAAGATTACTGAATACCTCTGTGAGCCATTGAGGAAATGTCTGAAGGACGAGGATCCATATGTTCGTAAAACGGCCGCTGTATGCGTAGCCAAGCTTTACGACATTAATGCTGCTTTAGTTGAGGATCAAGGATTTTTAGATCAATTAAAAGATCTTCTATCTGATAGCAATCCTATGGTATGTAGGATCATTCCAATTTAGCGAAAGAAGTATGATTAATAATATAGTGATTACTGAATTTATATATTTTTTTATATGTTCCTCTCATTTATTGTTAGGTTGTTGCTAATGCAGTAGCTGCACTGTCAGAAATTAATGAAGCTAGTCCTAGTGGACAACCTTTAGTTGAAATGAATGCTCAAACTATCAACAAACTTCTCACAGCTCTTAATGAATGCACAGAATGGGGTCAAGTTTTTATATTAGATTCATTGGCGAATTATTCACCAAAAGATGATCGTGAAGCTCAAAGCATATGTGAACGTATTACTCCACGTTTAGCGCATGCAAATGCTGCAGTTGTTCTTTCTGCTGTTAAGGTAGAATTCTTGGTGCATTTTATAACAAACAAAAAATTAAAATTAAATTTTATTTATATCAAATTATAACGATTAATATTACATTTAAACTCAGGTTCTTATGAAACTGATGGAAATGCTTCAATCAGAATCTGATTTTGTTGGTACTCTTACAAAAAAGCTTGCCCCGCCTCTTGTTACATTACTCAGTTCTGAACCTGAAGTTCAATATGTTGCATTGAGAAATATAAATCTTATTGTACAAAAAAGACCAGATATATTGAAGCACGAAATGAAAGTTTTCTTTGTTAAATATAATGATCCAATTTATGTTAAACTTGAAAAATTGGATATTATGATACGTTTAGCATCACAAGCCAATATTGCTCAGGTTTTATCTGAATTAAAAGAATATGCTACAGAAGTTGATGTAGATTTTGTTAGGAAAGCCGTCAGGGCCATTGGACGTTGTGCCATAAAAGTCGAACCTTCTGCGGAACGATGTGTTTCCACATTACTAGATTTAATTCAAACAAAGGTATATACGTTAAATAGAATCATAACTTTTTATAGTCAATATGAAATATAGTATATCTCTCTTGCTTTTTATTAGGTTAATTATGTGGTTCAAGAAGCCATTGTCGTTATTAAGGATATTTTCCGTAAATATCCAAATAAATATGAAAGTATAATTTCAACACTTTGTGAAAATTTAGATACTCTTGATGAACCAGAGGCACGTGCTTCTATGATTTGGATAATTGGAGAATATGCGGAACGTATTGATAATGCAGATGAATTGTTGGAAAGTTTTCTTGAAGGTTTTCATGATGAAAATACACAAGTGCAATTACAACTATTAACAGCTATTGTCAAATTATTTTTGAAAAGACCTACAGATACTCAAGAATTGGTACAACAAGTACTAAGTTTAGCTACGCAAGATTCAGATAATCCAGATTTGAGAGATCGTGGATTTATATATTGGCGATTACTCAGCACTGATCCAGCAGCAGCTAAAGAAGTTGTACTAGCCGAGAAACCTCTTATTTCAGAAGAAACAGATTTATTGGAACCAACATTGCTAGATGAACTGATCTGCCACATTTCTAGTTTAGCGTCTGTATATCACAAACCACCAACTGCATTTGTAGAAGGTAGAGCAGCTGGAGCTAGAAAATCTTTACCTGCTAGAAGTAATTCAAATGAGGATTCAGGGCAACGTACTACTACTACTTCTCAGCCTCATGCTCAAGTTATACTTGCACAGGACTCATTGATAGGTGATCTTCTCAGTATGGACATTGGTGAGTATATTATTTTTAAAGAGGTTGTGCAATAATATTACGCTTACGAAAATATAAGCCATATGAATTTTTTAAGGTGGACCAACTATAGTACCTCCAGCACCAGCTGCACAATCAGGATTAGGTTTAGATCTTTTAGGAGGTGGTTTAGATGGAATTTTAGGTAGTAATGATGGAGCTGCAAGTACTACAGCACCAGTTGTTTCTCAGAGTACAACAGGATTATTGGGAGATATTTTTGGTTTTAATCAAGGACCTACATCTTATATACCACCTAAAGTTAATTGGCTGCCTGCAGAAAAGGGTAAAGGTTTTGATATCTGGGGTACATTTTCAAGGAAGTAAGTATTATAATATATATGTAGTGAAATGGATTATTGTATTTTACTTCAATCTGATTTTAAAATAGGAATGGTCAAATCAGTATGGATATGACATTTACAAATAAAGCAATGCAACCTATGGGAGGATTTGCAATTCAGCTTAATAAAAATAGTTTTGGTTTAACACCAGCAGCACCATTGCAAGTACCAAGTCCTTTAGGTCCAGGAGCTAGCATTGAAACCAATGTAATTTTATCGACAGCAGGAGCAGTGCAACGCATGGAACCTTTAAATAATTTACAAGTTGCCATAAAGAATAATATTGATGTATTTTACTTTGCATGTTTAGTACCTATGAATGTATATTTTACTGAAGATGGGCAACTGGATAAGAGAGTATTTCTTTCAACTTGGAAAGATATTCCTGCGCAAAATGAGGTTATTTCTATTAACTTGCTTTCATAATCCTTCATTCCTCAATTTATGCTTTTCAATTAATAAGATTGGTTCTATCGTTAGGTCCAGTATACATTAAGCGGTATAATATTGACTGCTGATCAGGTAGTACAAAAGATGCAACAAAACAATGTTTTCACAATTGCCAAAAGAAATGTAGAAGGACAAGATATGCTTTATCAATCTTTAAAATTAACAAATAATGTATGGGTACTAAACGAATTAAAAATTCAGCCAGGCAATCCTGATGTTACGGTATGATGCAACTTAATCGTTACATTACATGTATATCATATATACTTTAACTTCAATTTATTAAATTTTATATTTTAAACTATTTCTAGTTATCGCTGAAGTCTCGATCCGTCGAAATCGCACCTGGAGTTTTTCAAGCATATAATGCAATATTGCATTCTTAAGGGTTTAAGTAATTGTGTTAACATTAACACTACAGAAAAATATAGTAAAAATGTTAATGAATACTTGTTAAGCAATTTATAAAAATGACATGGAACGTGTAATGCATACAATAATCAATCATGATGTAAATTAATATTTAATTGTTATAAGCTGCTACATTTATTAAGATTATCTCTGACATAATTAGAAATAAAAAAAATTAATGATCATATAATAATCTGTGTATTCATTAAATAATTATTTGCATAGCATTATAAAAGTATTTCATTATTGATGACGTGAATAAAATATTATGAAATAAAGGGATGCATGTATAAACACACATATGTACACACATTGTGGTAGAAATATATACTCATTATAGTATAATTGTATTTATTTATCGAATGTAAAGAATGATGTTTGTGTCACATAAAATTAACATTGAACCTTCCTTCTAAAAGAGCAACCCTCTGTTAACCGTGCTTTACCACCAGTTGGTGTACATAAAATCGTACGGCAACCATCACACTCAACTGGTTTCTGTGCATGTGAGAAGATAGTTTTGATAGCATAACATCCTGGACATTTTACATCCATAAAATAGCTGTTAGGCTTTTGGACGAGTCTCTTTAATTTATGCTTTCTTTTTTCCTCAATAGGACTAGGATGCAAAAGATCACGAGCCAGTGGCATTCTGTAATAATATAATATTTAATGTTATCAACAAATTAAAAAAATGTTACAATCGTAAAATATACGCCATCATTTCTATAAATAGATCGTCTAAACTTTGTTTTAATAATACCATATAAATATAATAGTATAAGTGTACATATTGCTCAAGATTGCTCAACCTTAAAAAAATAATTCAATATTATAAACATGAAACTTAAAACATCATTTCATTTGTTTATATTACAATATGACAATATTAACAGATATGAAAACAGTAATGAAAACTTAAACGCAATTATAAGATAAATTTATGGAAACTACTGCATGGAATGCTGTAGGCTACTGTTCGACCATGTATGTGTACAATAAATATACCCGTTTAAACTCATTTTAACGAATCATTACAATGATTTAAAGTCTTTACATATAAAATAATACATATACTTACGTGTCTTGTTTAATAATTCACCTTAAATTCAATAATTACACTCTTAACCACGTGTTTACGGCACAGCGTTAAGAACTGGAAAGGAACGGCGAACATGCTATGAGTAAATAGTCTCTAGAACGGCGTCACTGTAGCCAATCGTCAAAAACAAAATACTTTAAATAGAATTCATGACAAGACGAAGTATAATAGTAATGTAATTAGAAGAATTATGAAGATATATATTCATGTACATATATGTGTGCATATACAAATATGTATATATATATACATATATATATATATATGTGATCTTTATATTTAACACATTAAATTTTATTAAAAAATTAATATTAAAATTCTAAATAGCATGAATTATTTTAAAAAATATAACTAGATAGACTTACCTATATTATAGATGCTTTATAAAAAGTAATATGCCAAATCCAAGCGGATAAAAAATATCATTATATTTGATTAATTTTGAAATATTCGTAAAACAAAAAAAAAATTATTATATCTTTCTTTAATTTATTTATTTATTGTGTCATGATGATTGTTTTGCTTTCAATTATAAATATTAGATTTTAATTAAATTAATTGGAATGATATGACGGTATGTTATAATAAACAAATTCAGTTATCTATTATTTGCATAAATTATAATTTATTTCCTATCCTTTTGCATGGTATTGAGGTCAAAAACGTAACTATTGTAGTATTAAATACTCCAAATTATTTACAGACACTGTCATGATATGTAAGATTGATTTGAAAAATTAGATTTGCAACATGTATTACCTTCCAAATTGGATTACTAAGTTCAGGTAAAAACTGGACATATTCGATTTACGAATTGTAAAATCCTTAATTACAAGAGCAGTTAAGGATACCGGAAAGCAATCAATTATTTTATTAATACGTTACCAAGAGTATTTTTATATTGTTTTATATTATCATATTTCTTCAGCTGATTAAAAATTGATTTAACTTTTGATATCCCTAAAGCGCGCGCACGTATGTTCAAAGAACATTTTATAAAATTGATAATTGCCTCACTTGCACGATCGATACATTATAACAGTCGATGTTATCTTTCAAAATACAGATCTTTCGGTTGTAAAATCGGTTATTATTTATACGATAGACATCATTTTTGCAAGATATTTTTTCTTTTTTTTTTGTGTCTTTTTCTTTTTTTTCTTTTTTTTCTTTTTTTTTCTTTTTTTTTTCTTTTTTTTTTTTTTAAGTATCTGCGGTGACAATTTATAAACATTATTACATTGGTCGGCCGGACATTTTGGCCGGTTGATCGTTTAATTGTGTCACAGAATGATATATATGTATAATTATCATGCGAATTTTAATTGCGGTAAACATTAATAATTATAAGTATCAAGGAATGATCGCACGTCCATTTACCAATGAAAGAAGCATTTTCTGGCTTATAGCGGTCAAGGAAATCTCTGTTATAAATTACAAAAATCAACTTTTTTCATAACTTTTCTTTTTTTGTTCTTTTTTTCTTTTTCTTGTTTTGTTTTTCCTTATATCGGCGAGAGATTAATTACAAATTATAAAAGCCATTTTTTCATTTTTCTCTTTTAATTAATGGACAGTAAAATGCAGAATACAAAAGTATTGTTGTAATCAATGAATGTTCCTATCATGATTTTGCTTATACAAATAACGCTCATTATTCGTATATAAATACGAATACAAATGTCTTTCACAATCACGATAGGTATTATTATAAATGATTCGTTCAAGAGACGCAACATGAGAATGATGCTCGGAGTTTTTCAAAATGCCCACTCTCAATCTTTATTTCGAGCTTAAGATCTCGACGGAAGCGCTAACTAGCGGTAGAACCTTCGTACTAACTTGACAAAATGCGATGATCTTTTCGTAACACGTGATTCTTTTCATAATTTTTCACTCCTAACTTACCGCAATTAGACGATATTTCAAATTTTCTATGTAATTCGTGTGAATGATAGAATATATCATGAGAAAATTCAAGCCTAATATATATATATATGCATATATATATATATACATATATATATACGTATATATGTTGTGTGTACAGTAGAGACTTAAATATACGTATAGTAAAAAATGTATATATTCCCATATATACGTATACTTAAATCATCCACTGTATATTATAACGAATTAAATAATATACATTTGATGATTAATAAAACAGAGATGGTGATGATTGGTTTTTAATTGGCAATAAAAATGAACGATTCAATGGGAAAAAAAAATTGAAAAAAAATGTCACATACAAATGTAATTTTTTTTTCTAAGCTTGTTTTTAAATTTTCTTTTCTTTCTCTTTCTTTTCTCTTTTCCTTTCATGATAACACAAAAAAAAAAAAAAAAAAAAAAAGAAAATAAAAATAAAAATTTATTCAAAATTAAGTTAGGAATAAAAAATTATGATTTCATATCATTTATGAGCTATCCAACTCGAAAACATTAGGCACTACTGTTTCCCCTTAAGACAATTTTATATTCCAACCTCTGAAATTACAGCATGATTAATGACATATATTAAGGCACTTAACTTATGACTACCATAGTTATTGTACTACGATTAATCCATCGGCTTATCAAATCGTTAACGCAACGAAATCATCCCCGTCGTTCTCTCTGGTGCCGAGTCATTGAAATTAAGTATACATATATATATATATATTCATTTAACAAGAACTTTGTGTTTTAGCTACCATCACTTTTAAAAATTTCATACATTTCAAAAGATAATAATTATTCATTTATTTTATTTAATACTTATAACGTACCTCACGAAATCGTGAATACGATTATAAAAACAAATTTGTTTTCTTTTCATATAGAAATAAGAAAATAAAAAAAAAAAAAAAAAAAAAAAAGAGGAAAAAATACTTTGATACAAATTAAATTTATATACACATATATATATATATATATATATGTAAGTATATATATATATATATATATAGGAAGAACAGCGAAGCCCTAAAGGATTCGAATTGAACAAATGTTTGAATACTAATAAAAATATACCGTAAACACATGTTTACGTCGAAATAATTGCCATAGTATTTTAATTCGTTGAAACTTTAAAAAAAAAAAAAAATAAAAATAAAAAAAAAAAAATAAAAAAAAAAAATAAAAAAAAATAAAAATTAAACAAAATTAAAAAAAGAAAAAAGGAAGAAAAATCTCTTCTTTAATACAATAAATACATCATGTATAATATACGACGAATATAGGCAGAATAAAAATACTTCTTCTGTTATTTTTTTTTTTTTTTCTTTTTTTTCTTTTTCGTTCTTTGCGTAAAATTATTAAGTATATGACAGGCCGTGCAATTAGGAAGTTTTTTTTTCTCTTATTTCTTTAGATTTGCAATAAAAAACATTGTCATAAAAGAGAGTCATTAGCAATATTTCGTGGAAGACGCTCATTTCGTGTAAAAATTATGTCCTTCTTAGATAAATACAATTATTATTAGGAGTGAGAAAATTCGGAGATTCGGATGACGATGCGAGAATAATAATAATAAAATATCTAATGAATTATTTTTCTAATTCTTTCATCGAAAAACCTATACTTTATATCAATGACAATTATGCGAACACAATTTTTATAGGCCATTGGAAGTAGGAAAAGATATATTTCGGGAACGGTATATCTCTCTCTCTCTCTCTCTCTCGCTCTCTCTCTCTCTCTCGCTCTTTCTCTCTCTCTCTCTCTCGCTCTCTCTCTCGCTCTTTCTCTCTCTCTCTCTCTCTCACTCTGTCCAAACTATACACGTATATGGCGTAAGCTTAAAAGAGGAATCGAAAATTAAAATAAGAAAAAAAAAAAAAAATAAAAAAAATATCGATACTGTTTAGCCACAAGACAATGGCTATCAAGCGACAAGATAGGAAGCCGGTTTCTATTCTTTTTTTTTTTTTTTCTTTTTTTCTACAGTACATAAACTGATTTTTATATAATATACAATATTTCTAAATTAAAGAAGCAGCGGATAAAGAATTCTTAAATGCAAAAATAGTGATAGTAGCTTATATAGACCATCGGATATGGCCTTATCGTCGCAAATAAATTCCTCAAATCTACGACTAGGTTAATTCAAGGCACACGAAGGTGACCCCGTCAATCTGACGATTAGGTAAGCCGATGGGTTAAGACAATCTTTGCTCAACATATGCTTTATCAGTCTATCACTCAAGCGTCTTAACTTGTGCCATCACTTTGCCTTCCCACAATGGCAGAATCTCAGAATCATCTGTTATTTCTTCCTGTATAACTTTTACGTCTAAGTCTTCGCACTCGGTTTTAAAGAAATATCTGAAAAAATGAATAATAATAAACGAATAAAATGAATGATAATTCAATTTATATATCCCCCTTCCCCGACTATATAATATGATATACTTGTTCTTTATATCATCATTATGCGCGTGAAATGTGTATTTCAATTTTATTATAATAATATTTATATATGATAAAGTTTTTTTCTTTTCTTCTCTCTTTCTCTCTCTCTCTCTCTCTCTCTCTCTCTCCTCTCTCTCTCTCTCTCTCTCTCTCTCTCTCTCTCTCTCCTTCTTTTTATCTGTTTTTTTTACAAATCCAATATGAACTTTAATTGTTTATAATGTACGTACCGATAACTGCCCTTTTTCGGAAGGTATTCCTTAAACTGTTTTAACGTGACGTTACGACCAGGAATTTTGGTTCGATAAGGGAATTGCTCGTCACAGAAACTGAACACAACGGTGGTGAAATCTCCAGCATCTTGTCTAGTCTTTTTTAACGTAGATTGATTCGATTGATTGCAACACTGGCTCTGTACAGTAGGATCATGTGCTTGTTTCGATGTACTTGCATGTCGTTGTTTGCAACAACCGCGTACCCTTTCTTCCTCCGCTAACAACCTTCTTCGTGCCTCTTCTAACTGAGTTGCCTGTTTTTATATGTATATATATATATATATATATATATATATATATATATATATTTATATGTATATATATATATAAATATATTTTATATAAAAGTATAAAATAAGTCATAAGTTTTATAAACAAGTCAAAAATACAAACTTTTTTTTAGAATCAACCACCTTAGTTTTGTTATTTTTAAAATAACCACGATAACACTTCAATAATACTGTACCGTATGTGGTTGTGGTAGGGGAGGCATTCCAGGATCTGCAACAAATGGTTGCGCAGGTACACCCCAACTTTCCCTACTTGTTCGTTCCAAGGAACCACTTCTAGATCCGTATTTTTTGCCATGCCGGCTATGCTTAATATCCGCTTTCTTATCCGTCTCCTTCAACCACGATAATAGACGAGTATCTTTGCACACATTCAACGGTGGAACATCGCTTACAACGCTCACACCGCTGTCCGTTAACTCTGTCATTGATTTCTTTGTAGAGGATCTTCTTGTCATATCTAATCTTCTAAATCTTTGATCATGAGCTACAACATGTTGAGATAATTTCTGATGTAGCGGAATAGAATTAAGAGAAACGAACAAAGTAGAATGATCAGATAGATATAAAAATGTTATAAATTAGAAAAGGAATCGTTAATTTTTGACAGACATGTTAATAAAACAGTTACACACCTTGAAGATAAAGATCCTGTTTATGGAGGGAATCTGCATAATCGGATGGAACGGATTTTGATTTAGGAAAGTAACCAAATTCATGAACAAGCTCACTACCTTCTGGAAAGTCGTGAATATTCCCACTGTCTGCTGAGAAAGTAGAAAATACGTCCTTTTCTTTCCTTTGTTTGTACGATCGTGGGTAACTATGCATGGGACGCCTTCTTTCAGGTGAATGCGTTCTAGGTGATAAAAGACCAGGAGATCTGGAAGGTGTTAAATCCGACCAAACTCTTGACACGTGCTGATCTAAAATCGCCTGATCACTATCTTCGTCTGTTGATAATTTTTCTCTTAGAGCATCAGCAAGTGCTTTAGGAGCACTATTACTAGGTAAGGCTTCCGTAGAAGTATCTATACTAAGTAATTCGCTTTCTTGTAGATGACGATCAAGTTTTTCTTGTGTTTCTCTCTCTCGTTTGACGCTTTCCAATCTTTCTATAAGAACCTGCGCAAACTCTTCTGGCTTCAAAGGTTGCGTGAGATCTCGTGGTACCCGTTGTGTTCGAGGTATGATGACATGATGTGCCATTGGATCGCGATTTAAATTGGCTAATTCCTTCATTCCTCTAGATTGTCTTGAATATTGTTTTTTACTACGTTGTCTGCCCATCGACATTCCATCGCTGAGAACATAATAAACGAAAGGTATTTTATTATAACTATTATTAGCTTTATCGTACGTACGCTTCATCGTATGTAGACGTGAAAAATTAATACGTTTTTTCCTTTTTTCTTGTTTCTTTTTTTTTTTTTTGCATGCAAGATAAAGTAACAAACTTACACAGATGAATCGGTGATAGATATATTGTCTGATTCAGTTCGTGCATCACTGCTTAAGCTTTGGAGTTCTGAATCTTGTCTGGACACTGGGTTGTAGGAAGAGTATTGTGTGTGCAGTCTGGGTACGAGCATATGATACGGACTAGCTCCATGTTGCAAATAAATGCTTTAACGTCACGCAAAAACAGCAAACAAAACGAAAAGAAAAAGTATAAATGAAATTAAATAACAGAAAACCAAAAATAATTTTCGCACATTAAATTATAAATGAAAATTTGAAGTAAAACGATATTAAAATGCGAGCGTGCTTTACATTCAAATATAAGGTATATAGCGCGTTTTATAAAAAATTTATTTTTGTGTGAATTTAATAGACACATTATCTATGATTAAAATATACTTTATGTTATATGTTATATTTAATATTAAATTGATCTTAATTATTTAATAAAAATTCCACACAAGCTTAAATATATTAATAAAACTCAAGCATTCACACAAGTTTATTTTATAGTGTTGTAAGTAAAGAACTATCAAAGCTACAAAATAAAAAAGCCAATACTCATATAGTATGATATATTAACTTATTTACCCAGCACACGCTTCTGGCTTAGGCCGCACATCCATTGCTCTAGTCTGTTGAGTAGCTATCAACACATCTTTGGTTAGCCTTAGCTCGCTTCTCAATTCTCCAGGCGTCTCGCTCGCTGAATGCGAGCTGTGTACAGAGGTAACAAATTCACTGTCCTCGTGTACAGTAGGTAGCAAGCTTGGTCCACAGGAAACAGACATTTCTCGACTAGAACCAGAGCTTGGGCATCCACCAGAGTCTGGATTTTGGCAAGACTGTACATATTGAAGATACATTTCTGATCGAAGAAAGTTTGGATACGTAGTCTCATTGATGAGACGTTCCACTTCTAATTGTACAGCATCAAAAACTTTCTCATCTACTCTGCCTTCTTTTACACGACGATTAGCCTCTTTTCTTACATCTTCTGGTATGGCTAGCTGAGACTTGAGAAAAAATTTTCTGTAAATAAGCTTAACCAACTGGTTAATTCTATCTGGATCGCTTTGTTCTTTGAGGCCTTCACAGGCAAACCAAAAATTAAGCGGATTCGCATGTGGTTTGCCTTCTTGATCCAGGTACTTTCTAAACAGTTCCAGACCAACCGAATCCTGCAGTAAGGAATGCAGGTTCCTGGCCCACCGTAAACAAGGAGGAGACGAGTCACACTCCATAGTGGTGGTTCCGCAGCAACCTTCTGGCTCAAAACCCAATGGTGCAGAAGCATCGCAAGAACCCAATGCTGTTGGTGTTGCTAAAGAAGAACGTCTAGGGGTCAGAGCTGGACTCTGTGGACGGAACCTACTTACATGGCCTCCTGTTTCCTCTCCTATATTAATAAATTCATTGAAATCTATAATATGTACACGTACTATCAAATTCATTCTTGATATAAGTAAAAATAAAAAAAAAAAATATATATATATATATATATTAGTAAAACTCTTACCAGGCACTGGTGGCCTTGGAGAGTTTTCATTGAAGCAACGTGATTCGTTTTGCCGAGATCCACTCATCCTATCTGTTGTAGCCATCACGTACTATTTTATTATCTAAGATTAATTGTGGCCCACGGCGTCTCTTAGTGGACATGATTATTCCAAATCTGTAAAAATAAAATAGTATTAACATAAAATCTGTAATTGTATATACTACTGCAATCTATTGTACAATGTAACATATAATATATAAACTAAATGAAAAATGATAAATATAAAAATATAAACAAATTAAAAAATTGTATGACGACTAGTATTAACGCTAAATCTGCAATAGTATATATTCTACCAGTTTACTATATAATATAAAATATAATATGCAAACTAAATAAAAAATGATAAATATAAAAATCCAAATAAAATAAAAACAGAATTATAGAGTATTATTAAATATAATTTATATATTCAATTATGATAAACAATGTAAGCAAAATCATTATTGTAACGACATAGAAAATGTTCAAGTATTTTTATTTGGGAAGCATTATATTATAAATATAAGCTTTTTTTTTATAATAACATATATAACGATAATAGCATATTGTATATAAATAGTAATTATGTTAATTATATTAATAAAAATTTGATAATAATCACTGTTAATCAAAAATTAAACAAAAGAGATGAAGATAGTATATCATTTCAGCTCTGCGTAATACAAATAGGACCAAGTATGACTGCTCGCATAGATTTCATAACTTATATTTTCAATGACGATAAGGCCTCAATACTTGCAAACAAAGAACCAGAGCCTGGGACATGGTTAGTGGATCGATTGAGCTCTGTGGTGAGTCATACAAATTCTATATCCCACCAAGATTTTCTGTCCTAAAGAAGTATGGGAGGAAAGCTCTGTATATATGCCCATAGTCTACCTCCTAGCAGTCTGCGCATCAAGAACCACCACTCCGCATACCCCTCTATTGGACTGCGCACCATCTTTGTGTAGTATTGATCGACAAAAATTATAATGCAATCTATTGAATTACCAAGATCTACCTCAGAAATATCATGATATATCAAAGAACTGTTTATTATACTTATCGAATAAAGATCCAGTAAACTGGAAAACTATTACTAAAGTTATGAGGGTATCGAACTAGACCAAAGGAACAAAAGGTCTTAAGGGCTAAACTTTTGTTGCGAAGAGCCATAGAAATTTGATTCCTCATAGACTAAATTTTAGGTCTAATATATTAGGTCTAATACATTTTATCTTGAAACCTTAGCACACTTATACAATAAAATTATGAAAAAAAAATAACGTACTTCTATTATGTTTCAAAAATTTTGATAAATTTATGATTCTAATCATTATATATAACTATAATAAAAACATAATGATGTTTATAAGGTTATATATACTTTTAATATATAATTACTATAAAATAACAATAGTAGTAATATGAATATCAACATATAAGTGAATATCTACATACAATTTCAGACCGCTATATTTACTTATTTTTTTTAGTTTCTCTATCATTTAAAGCAGTGAACCATGATGAATGGAAAAATGTAAACTCAAATTCTATGAAAGAGGAAGTATGAAATGAAAAGCTGTCATAATGAATCATCTCACTCCGCTGCACTTTTACCTGAGTCAAGGGATGGTAAAAAAGCTTACGTACCATTTTGTCGGCTACCCTCTGTAGGCAGGCTTGAAATATACACAAGCTTAATAGGATCCGTTATAAGTTTGGTATAAGATCTATTATAAATTGTTGTCTAATAAAATGCTTGTTCTATCCTTCATATGATATCATCGATAGCACTGCTCGCAGTAAACTGAGCTATGGCAGCTTCCTGGCCAGGACTGACGCAGCATCAATAGAAGGGGGTTGGAATAGGTAGGCAGTATATAGAATCCTGACAGACTGAGAGCTGCGCAGACTAGAAATCTATACTCAAAGAAATAATTGGAACGGTCTAAAGTATACTATGAATTGCTCTCAAAATCTATATAACAGATATATGGAATGTTTTTCTTCATAGGTACATTATATAGTATAAGAATAATAATACTTTTTTGAATGCGTACAATGAAATAGATATATTACATTTCTTCTTCGAGAACTGTAAATGCACCTTCTCTCAGAACTTTAATTCTTATGACATAAAACATTAAAATACTTAAAGTATTTCATTCATTATAATCAAGATTTAATAAATTATAAATTGACACTTATTTAATAATAAAATAGTTTTTCAAATATATGATATATAATTCATTATATCATAATAGATTATATATATATACATATATATAAAAAAAATTATAATAATAGTGATTTATTGAATTTTAAACATTTCAGGCTAAGTTTCTTTTTATCAACAGGTATATATTATAAATTACTATGATAAAAAAAGAAAAAAAATATATAAAAAATATATAAAAAAATATATAAAATGAAACTTTTCTAATTCAATAATCTTAAACACAATTGATTAAAAACAAAAATAAAATACACGTTGCACTATTAAGTTTTTAAAAAGTCAATTACTCTTTTAACTTTATAAATAACTAATTACGACATGTTTACTAATTACGAAAATGTTTAGTCATGAAAATCAATAATATTCAACTATAAAACGATGAATTTGTTTCATTCATTCTTTTCTTCCGATATATCAAATTAACCAAACCACACAAATTTTGATCGATAGATGTCGCGAATATATGTGACAACTTAACCGAAGATCATTAGATACAAAGTTTTCAAATTTAAATGGCCTTTAAAGCGTGAAAATAATGATTTTAATTTACAGCTTAAGCGCTTCCACAGGCTCCACCCTCACTTTTAATTTTGCTTAATGATGTCTGTCGGTGTAATTATTTTACCGGCGGCACCGTAAGATATAATTATACGCCGGCGAACACGCTCGATGTAGAAAACTCGTTGATAAAAGTCGATGCACTAGATAAGTTCTCCTTCACACGTAGATAAGAATCATTACATTTTAAAATCTTTAACTACCAGTAATTATCGACTATACATATATACATACATATATACAGACATACGTATATACGTACATACATACATATATACATACATATACGTATATACGTACATACATACATATATACATACATATACGTATATACGTACATGCATACGTACATATATATATATATATATATTCGTTATACAATAAAACATATTAAATGATAATTATTAATGATTCAACAATCTAATCAAAATTCCTAACCTATATATGTATACAAAATTTCTATGATCTTACTATTATAGATATGTATTTATCTAATTCTACGTTTTATATAAATATCAATCTCTAGTTCATCCTCGTGCATTACTTTTGTCTTTTTTTCTTTTTGTCTGACATCCTCCTCTCTTCCACCCTTTACAATGCTCAACACTTTTCTTCCTTTTTCTGTCGATTTTTTTTAATCCCGGAAAAGAAATACTTGAAGCATGCGAGAAAGATTTTCCGATATTGAGATCTTTTGAAGCGTATAAGGAAGTTGAATCCATGAAAGTATCGATGTCATTCATTCGGAAACATTTCTCGGTTTTCTCTATACTACTAGAGAACGATATTAAAATGAACGCATGACCGATCTGAAGGACAAACGGGGATAACCTTGATAACGCGACAAACGATAAAGCGGTAAAGTTTAAATGTTCCTTTGTAAGGTACAACTTCTTTCATTTTTTATATGGCTATAAGCACGTACATAAAAATATTTTTTATAATTCCATTGAAAACAGTATTACATCAGGAGGGTAGATGTCGATAAAAAAACAAAAAAAAAAAAAAGAAGAAAGCGCATATGGCAATAAAGAAGGGGAAAAAAATAAATAAATCAATTAGGACACTTTAATCTCTTGTAAAAATGAAAAATGAAAAAAAAAAAAAAAAAAAAAGAAACCACACAATGGCGGATCGTATATCGTCTTTTAAACTAGCAGTTCTATCGGCATTATCATCATGTAAGAAGATTTCACAATGAAATCATCTTTTTCGTCCGATCCAAAGCGAAGGAAGATAAAAGAGAATGACCGGATACACTTTGGACGATCTCTTTAACAATCATTAAAATGTCTTATTCGGAAGATCTTGAAATATAATTTCATTAAGAATAAAATATGAAGGAAAGACATTTCAAAAGAAAGAAATATCAAGAAGACAAACTTCCGATTCCGATTTCCAATGCTGAGGTAAAGAGATCCCGGTAAGGTAAAGACGAAAAGAAAGAGGAGAAAACATATTTTGAATGAGTGCGTTATTTAGGAATTACAATTATTTCTCTGCGTGCGTGTACCGCGCACGTTGTATTAATGTGTGTTGTGTGTATGTGCGTACACGTATGTGTGCGTGTGTGTGTGTGTGTGTGTGTGTGTGAAAGCAAAGAAAAAAAAGCACACCGCAATGTTTACGAGGATAGTCCTTACGTTCACCGAGCTGAATCGCGTCGAGCTGCGTTGTGGAAGGGAAGCAAGTCTCTCTTTCTCTCTTTCTTTCTTTCTTTCTTTCTTTCTTTCTTTCTCTCTCTCTCTCTCTCCCTCCCTCTCTCTCTCTCTCTCTCTCTCTCGCGCTCTTACTCTTTCTCTTTCTCTTTCTCTCTCGACGCTCCAGAGACTCGACGAGCTTGAGGAAAGAGAGAGAAACAGGTAAGAAGAGAAAGAGAAACAGAGGAGGGAGACGGAGCGAGAAAGAACGAGAGAAAACGAGAAAGAGAGAGAGAGAGAGAAAGAGAGAGAAGAAAAAAAGAAATGGATAAAAAGAGGGTCGGGGAAGACGTAGGTTGCCCGGGCGGCTGCTGGCTGGCGGCATCGCTTGATGTACGTCGGGTCCGTAATTACAGGTTTTCGGAACGCTTCGCTCAGCCAAGCCATGCTGCTCGAAAGTCAGGCCCCTTCTTTCGCTGCTCGACATATCGGGTGTTTCAAACGTACGACGACGCTTTCGAATTTATCTTTTACAACGTCCATGAAAATATATCTTCGATCATCTTTATGATTTATTTATTTCTTTATTTTTATTACTATTTTCATTTATTACATATAAATACATATATATATATACATATCTATATATATTTCTTAACTCTTCGTTAGATCAAAATCGTTAATAATATATA